CTATCAAAGTTTTGACACTACAAAGCTCATAGCCTCTCTGAGAGGTAGTGAATTGATTTTAAGGAAAATTTATGTTATATATGATTTGGATTTTTCTTTTTTCTTCTAGTTCAACGAACTATTGTTGTTTATAGAATTATCCCAATTGCTGTAACTTTTTTAGTAACTTTTTTTCAACATTACGATAAATTTGAACAATTACTAATATTGTATTAATTAATTCAATGAACTTATTCTAGACATTAATTAATCAATACATCACAAATATTGAAGTAGAAATGCTTTTCTAAGCATTCCCTACTGCGGAGGGGAAGACCAGAAGAGGCTTCAAAACTAAGGAACATCCTTGCGACTAATGATGCACAAGAGCAATAGACTAATACTAAAACTCCCCAAGTCCAAAGTCCAAAGAATCATAATGCAACTTATCTCGAACAAAAAACCCATATGTTAAAGTTTTAAATCATTCCAAAAGATAAACTTATTTACATATGTCATAATCAATGAACTCCAGAGATAGATATCAAAAAACATTTTTGTTTGGTATGAGAGTATTAAAACAATTGAATTCAATCAGCCAATCTAAAAATACAACCATCTATGATAACAGTTCCACACAAATAAGAGCATGTTCCGAACTGAAAAAATAAAATACATTTATTGTTGAATTTAGACTATTTTAAAATAAAAAATAAAATTTTAAAATAAAGACGGTTCAAAATCGCGAACGGGATTCGGAACCGCCAGTTCACGGTTCATGATCCAGTTTTTTTTTTTAATTCTTAAATTTAATATATTGAAATCCAAATATTGGGTTCTAGATCTGAATTATAACCGAAATTTTTTAATTCGATTGCTATAGTGTCTGGTTCAGTTCGAACGGAACCGTGGTAATCACTACATGTACGCAATAATTTGTTGGAGAAGTAAAATAAATAAAATGTTTACTTTAAGGGTAGAAATGTTAATTTAATATATTAGGGGGAAAAATCACCACTTTTAAAATAATTGAGGGGGCTAATGTGCTTACATAAATAATTGAGGAAAAAAAATACTATAAATATATAACTTAGGGGGGGAAAGTGTCATTTTCTCTTTAAAAAATAAAATAAGAAATAATTGTACTTTTTGTTTTTAAGTGATAGACTAAGTTTAAATTTAGTCTCAAAATCATGAGTTGCAATAATTAGTAGTTAGTAGTTAGGTAAACAGTAAAAATCCCCTTTGATTTAATTGTAGCAATAGAAAAAGTTGACTTAATTCTGCTCTTTCAATATTATTTGTTAAAATATATTATCTTTCTCTTCAAGTATTTTTGAACAGATACTACAATGTAATAGAGTCAGTAGCATTAAAAAAATATATATTATCTTTCTCTTCCAACAAGTTGATCAACAAAGTCATGGCAAGGAAAATGTCAAAGCCAGTGGATTTGAGCTTTTCATAGTTGCTCTTCCTTCACAAGCAACAGTAATTGTCTTTCTTCTCCCATTTACTATTTTGATATATAGGATCTTCTAGAACAATATTATTTCTAAATTTTTTGAAATCAAGACTTATATAGAAACGAATACAAAGGAAGTAAAGACCATGCCAATTCAGAATTCTTTTTAAATGCCTTTATTACGCGATGTTTTATGTTGTGCTAAATTTTCATAAATCTTTGGTTTAAATTTCAAGATTGCAATTATCTTAATAAAACTCATAAAATTAAAGAGTGTTTAGTCACTCTTAAGGTCTTCCAAGTTTCCGCACCCATATATATGATTAATTTCTTTCGTAGTTAAATAGTTGAGAAAATTTGTGGGGAGATTTTTTTTATTATTATAAAAAAAGTATCATAATTAGTCTTTCTGAGTGCTAAGATTTCATAAAGTGTTAGTCATATAAAAGTAACATACTATAAGGACAGAATATTAATTGTTATTTCAACTACATTTTAAAGAGCAAAATCACTGTATGTATACAGGTTCGAATATTTGAACCAAATAACATTTATACATTATATAGATATATAGATATGACTTTTTTTTTTATTATTATAAGGAAGGGGATACCCTACATATACCCTACATATATACATATAGATATGACTTTTATTTGATGAAAATATAGTATATATTTTATACTACCTACGCCTACACTGAGGCTTAAACCTAAGACATCCCACATAAGGGACCAACCGGATACTAGTGAACTACAAGTCACTTAGTATATTATATACAAGTTATAAATATGCTCAATGCACGAATAAAATTTGTCCAATGAATTTAAATAGAAGATAGCAAAAATATATGGTTAAAATAAATGTAAAATTATAGATGGAGTTATAGAAATATAGAATACGACTTTAATAACAAGAGACATTTTTACTCTGCCGATGGACTATGTTGAATTTTATCCATAATTGAATTGATTGTTTTTTTATATAGGCCAAAGTGTTTATAATTGAAGTAGTGATTAGTTTTCTATAGGCCCAAATATGTTGAACAAAAAGTATGAGTGTCTTTGTTCATTGGACATTTTTTATTTCATAAGTGATAGGTAATAGCTATAATAAGAACTTGTAAGCTTTTATGTTTAATATCGCATAGTTGTATCAATACATAAAAGTACAAATGAATTCTATCATGCATCATTCATCTTAGTTTACCAAAATAGAGTTTTACATTAAACAAAAAAAATTCAACCAATATTTTCATATCCTACATGTTAGAATATAGATATATCAATTTGCTAAAAATTTCAATCAATATTGGATTTTTTATAGATTCTTTGGAATACAATTATAACTACAATTATGGAGGGTTTTTAATTTGTAACAGATAGTTAAGAGAATTATAATTTTCAAAAGATAAATGGGTAAATTTTAAAAAGTAAATATATGAAGTACAATGAAGAAAACTCAAAGTATAATCTATCAATGCAATATATACCATTAACATATTTTTTTTTATTGCAAACCTTTTCATGCCTCATTTCGGAAATTGATTTGCACTCCCTGCACATGAGAGAGTTTTATGATACATAATTCAAACTCCCTAAAAAAGATACATGTATTTATACTAGTGCAAACTTACTTCTCATTTTTAATGTGAGACATATGCTTCTTCAAACTGAGTCTACTTTGAGAATCAATTTCTCATTCACTCATTATCCATTTTGAACATACAAAATATCATTTTCTTCATCTCAGTTAGGAGAACCTGAATATAATTTAATCTGACCCGAATTAAAAGAGAACCCGAATAATATTTGTACCACTAAATTAGCCACTTATAATGTCATATTTGCTAAAAAATTTAATCTCAAGTGGCATTTGAATTCCTAATTTCTAAGGTAAGAAGAATTTGCTCGTATCATTTAACTTAGAGATCATTGATTTCAATTATTCAGTGGTGTTAGATAAATTTAGAAGATTTATTCATTAGAGCAACCTCATTAGTTAGATTTTTGAGTTGATTTTAGTCATAGTAATGTAGGAGAGAGAGCAAGAGGAAAAAAAAAAAAAAAAAAAAACAAACAAACAAAATTGTAACTTTGAAATTAACAAAAAAAAAAAAAAAAAAAAAAAAAAAAAACAGTTCACGCGCCCAACTAGCTCGTGCATTGCACGTGTCTAGCTGGGTGCCATAATGACATAATGTACGGCAAACTTCTTCCTTTCCTCTTACACCGTGTGTTTCACAAAAATACACTCCTCCCAGAAGAAAAACTATTAAAAACCCACTTCCCCCACTTTTAAAAATTCATGCTTAAGTTCTTAGTTCTGCAAAAACGAACTTAGAGCATCCATAATAGTGAGAATATTTGGTGATTTTTTGAATAATTTTTGTAAGTGTGATTAGAAAAGAGAATATGAGAGGGGAGAGAAAAAAATTGAATTAAAAATAAAATAAAATATATATATACTTGTCAGGCGCGACTGGCGCACTTGACGCGCCACCGGGCTCGTGCAGCACGCACCCAACTTTGGCCTTGCTGTGCGCTAAACACGTACAACCTTCTATTTTTTTCTTCAGCTTGGTGCACAGGTTACTGTTCCAATAAATCAACCCTTGCAGATTAATCCATACACTCTTTCTCCTACAATCTCTCTCCAATTTATCAATGAATTCTTTGCCATTATCTTCCAAATATGTGTTGATATTGATGCTCTAAAAAACTCCTAAGGGGTCATTTGGTTCACGGAATGTCAGATTACCTTAGGGAATGTTAGATTGGTGGGAATGTTAAATTACTGAGAATGTTAGATTCCTGTGTTTGGTTAAAATTGGGGTATGTAATATAATCATGTTTGGTTTAGGGTTATCTTTTATTCAGACACTATAATATCCTTAACATATTTTTATATATTTTAATAAATTTAAAAATTAAAATAAATAAATAAGATAACGGTATCATATATAATTACATGATTTTAAAATATTAACTAAAATATTGAACTTGAGAAACAAAATTATTTTATATCCTAACCTAACATAATAAAAATAAAAAATATATAATTACAAAAATAATTATATATATATATATATATATATATATATATATATATATATATATATATATATATGTGTGTGTGTGTGTGTGTGTGTGTGTGTGTGTGTGTGTGAGAGAGAGATAAATTAACATAACCAAGGTTATCTTACATAACCTTAGAAATTGAAGGGAATCACATTCCCTTCAAAATTCTACGTGGAGGAAATGTGACATTCTGGGGAGTGTTAGATTCCCTGAGATAATGTGAACCAAAAATAGGAATGTGAGTTTTGAAATATCACACTTTCTTAATTATGTTATATAACCTGAACCAAACGCATTAGGGTTACTCTTATTCATTAAACAAGACCGACATGGGTCCGTCCAAATGTCCAATTGAAAGCACTCTAAAAAGATATTTTTGAAAAATGACCTGCTTTAATAATTCACTTTTTTTTTTTTTTTTGGTTTAATAAAAGTGGGCCGGGCAGGCTGGCACTGACTTTAAAATATGAAGTCAGTATTTAAAGTTGCTTTATCCAATAACTCACGCACTTGTCAGACATTACAGAGAGTAAAATCAAGATCTAGGTATGAAAATGAAGCTCATACTTCACATCAAATCCTCAGCCGGCAGTTGAGCGTATGCCAAATTAAAGATCTGAGCTATGGACGTTGCGGATGCTTCTATAGGGGAGCTTGTTGAGCGGCTAGTACAAGTAGCAGAGGAAAATACATGGTTGGCATTGGGGGTCAAAGATGAGATACACAATCTGGTGGACGACCTCAAATTGTTGAAGGCTAATCTCAAGAAAGCGTCGGCGCATGAGAGCGCCAACCATGTCCTAAAAGATGTCGTGGACAAGATCCTAAACGTGGTAAGCGATGCGGAAGACGCAATCTGTAAGTACAGTATGGAGAAGAGGAAACATACAGTCAAAGGGATATTTAGTTTCGGTTTTGCTAAAGAGATCCAAAGCATCAGAGGCAAGGTTAAAAAAATTCAGCAAGACCACGCCCAAGCTTTTCAGGCCTTCATATATGAGCACGATAGAGGTACGTCAACCGGCTCTAAGGCATCTCAAATTCATTACATCAAATTTTACACCAAAAAGAATATTCTCAAAATATTCTTACACTTAAATTTATTCATCTCCAATTCATTACACTAAATTTATTTCTACACAAAAATAATTTGTTTTCTCATAAATTAAAACTTTAATTTTTTAATATAAAATTTAATTGTAATGCGAATAATATTTTTATTCCACAATAATATACTCCGTAACATATAACAACTATTACATTTAATTTTCAGAATTACCATATTGTTTCTACAAATGCTCAATTAATGCATTGCGAAGTGCATAATTTCGGATGTATTCGGTTTAATATTATGAAAATTATATTTTATGTACTTTAGTTTTTAATTAATCTATATATAATATTAGGCTTGTTTTAATCGTCTTGATGCGATCTTTCAAATGATATAATTTATTTTTAATTATTCAAATTTTATATTTATGTATTTAACAAAATATGTACATCTATAAAAACAAAATAACGATACAAAAGAAATTAATAAAAAAGACAAGGGCAAAATTGGAATACAATACTTTACACCATTTTGGCGTAAATGCTACCGTATTTGGCGCTGCACTGTAGCAAATCGCCAAAATAGCACCCAATTTGGCACTACATTGGAGGAGGTTCAGCGCCAAATTGGGCGCTAAAATAGCGTTTGTTGGAGATATACCGTCTTCTTGGAGACGGCTTAAAGACGGTAAATTATTCTGTGGAACTGTGTTCACCTTGTAGTGAACACGGTTCCAAAACAATTTATAATTATGAATATATAGTTCAAAAATTATGAATATATAGTTCTATAATTATGAACATAGAATTGTGAACATAATTATGAACATATAATTTTGTAATTATGAGTATAGAAATTCAATAATTGTGAATATAAAATTCAAAAAGTATGAATATATAGCTTTATAATTATGAACATATAGTTCAATAATTATGAACATAGAATTCTGTAATTGTGAATATAGAGTTCAATAATTATGAATATGTAGTTTAATAATTATGAGTATATAGCTTTGTAATTATGAATATATAGTTCAGTAATTATGAACATAGAACCGTATCCACCTTGTAAGGTGGACACAGTTCCACAGCATAACGATTGTCTAAAGACTAAAGAGGATCTTATAGGGTGGACCATGGTCCAAAAATGTACATTTTTTTTTAAAGTAAAGAAATGATGATTGTTATATTTAACAAAAATTTCGTATTTATAATATGCTCAAAATAAAATAAAATAAAATTATAATATATTTAAAATAAAACCGGATAATATGTCTCACATATTAACTATATATTATCAAATGAAACTGTTGTGTTGAAATAAAACTACAGTATGTATGTATACAATGAAACTGAATAATGTGTCTCACATATGGAGTGTATATTGTCAAATGAAATTATAGTTGAATTGAAATGATATTTAGTTATGCTTAAATGAAACTATAGTATGTATAAAGTAAAGCTGAATAACATGTTTCACATATTAAGTGTATATTGTCAATTGATACTTTAGTTGTGTTGTAATGAAACTACAGTGTATATAAGATGCACAGTAGAGTTAACTACATCAGTGGAGGAGCTTGTACTCCAAGTAGATCGGCTAGAAGTAGTACTCCAGGAAAACGCGTCGCTACTAATCGTGATAAAGGGTGCGATCAATAAACTGTGGCCGTATGTCGAAGACTTCAGAAGTGATCTGAAGGTAGCGTCTAAGAATCAGATTCGCTATGACAATTTTTATGTCCTACGGGATGAGCTGGAAAAGATCCGAAATGTGGTATCAGATGTTGAAGACATGATTGATATTGTCGTTGTGAAGAGGAAGAAGTATAAAGACAAAGGGGTATTATTGAGATGCTTGGAAACACTTCATTATTATGCCACGGTTTACATTTATGCTAGAAGGATACATGCACTCACAAGCAGAGTTAGGAAAATCGAAAATGTCTGCCACCTAGATCCTGAAGGCCTCATGCCTTCTTCAAGAAAAAGAGACCCTGCTCTACGAAAGCCGGTATGTCCTACACAACTAACTCTGGTCATTTTTTAACGCTGCACTATACTCTCTTTATACTTCTACAACTTTTTTCCCATCATCATAGCTATAAAATCATCCACTTGTACAATTATTATGATTATATAATTTCATCATTATTTTTGTTCATTGAACATTTTGTTTTTTTAACCTAGCTATATATGAGGCGATAGGCTAAAGAAATTTGAACATTTTGAGGGTAATACACTTAACATTTAAAAGTTGATTTGTACAAATTAATATCAATGCTTCCTAACTTTATTTTTTTGAATTGTTAAAGGCTCTCATACCCGAAGTGGAAGAAGAAAATGTGGTTGGCTTGGATAATGAGGTGGAAATTATAAAGAATGATCTCTTAGGAGGATCAAAGAACTTGAGATTCATTTCAATTAATGGAATGGTTGGTCTTGGCAAAACCACATTGACCAAAATGGTGTTTTGGGATCGTGATATTGAGTATGAATTTTTTTATCGCTATTGGGTTTGTGTTTCAAGACCATTTAATAAAAAGCAAATATTTCTAAACATTTTGAGTAACTTCACCAAGAAAACTAAAGACTTTGATGATATGTCTGAGGAGAACTTAGTTCAAAAAATAAGAGAATTTTTGAGGGATAGAAAGTATCTTATTGTAATAGATGACCTACGGGACATTCATGATTGGATTTCATTGAAGATTGCTTTTCCACGCAATAAGAATGGCAGTAGAGTATTGGTGACCACTCAATATATATGTGTGGCTCGTGTATCTAGTTCCAATAACCCTCACCAACTAAAATTTTTGGAGGATGAAGAAAGTTGGGAGTTATTGAAAAGGAAGGTTTTTGGTAAAGAAGGATGTCCTCTTCACTTAGAAAGACTTGGTAGGCGCATAGCAACAAAATGCAATGGACTACCGCTTGCCGTGATTTCAATTGCTGGTGTCCTACATAAGGACTCCTCAGCTAGTGAATGGAAACGTCTAGCTCATGATCCCTTACCAGTAATTAATCGAGAAAATCAGAGTTACAATGCACTAGTAAAGTTGAGGTATGATGAATTGCCATCTTTGTTGAAAGTTTGCTTCCTATACCTTGCAACTTTTCCTAAAGGACATGAAATTGCTGCCTGGAAACTGACTAGTTTGTGGATAGCTGAAGGACTCATTCCAAGGCCTGAATACACCTTTGTCACAGAAGAGGTTGAAGCCGAGGAGTATTTGGAACAACTTGTTAATGAGAATTTTGTGATGGTTTTGAAAAGAAGAGCAGATGGCCGAATAAAAACATGTCACATTCATAACACATTACACGAGTTTTGTAGAACTGAAGCTACGAAAAAGAATCTGTTTCAGGAAATGCATGGAGGTGAATATGAGGTAAACAATATCACTCGTCGTATTTGTGTCCGCTCAAACGTTTTGGAGTTGTTGAGATCAGAAAACAAGCAATCTAATGAGCACGTACGCTCTTTCTTATCTTGCTCCATAAAACAAGATATTCCGAATGACTGCTTGGCCGCCATTCCAAAATCCTTTCCTCTTCTTAGGGTGATGGATGTTGAATACCTAAAATTCAGCATGCTGCCAAAAGAATTCTTTCGCCTCTACCATCTGAGATTCCTTGCAATGTCGACTGAATTCAATATCCTCCCGAAGCTCTTCAATAATCTTTCGAACATGGAGACACTTGTGTTGAACACTACAGAAAGTAGTCTTGAAGTTAAGGCAGGCATATGGAGTATGCGTAAACTAAGGCATGTGTACTGCAACACTTCCATGCAGCTGCCTCCTCCTCCAAAACATAGCATGAACAGCTCAGGAAGTATAGACCTAAAGACACTTTGTACCATATCACCTTCAAGTTGCACAGGGGAAATTTTCGACAAGACCCCCGATCTTCAAAAGTTAGGAATTCGTGGGAATTTAGTTGAGCTTCTGAAAACCAAGAGAGAAATTTGTTTGTTTGACAATCTTCAAAATTTGCGTCGCCTGGAAAATCTGAAGCTCATAAATAATGATGTCGACCAAGGTAGTAGCATGTTGCAGATCGGCTTTCCTCGTGCTAAAAAATTTCCACCCAGGTTAAGAAAGTTAACTCTGTCGAACACAGCATTTGAATGGAACAGCTTGAGTATATTGGGAATGTTGGGTTATCTTGAGGTCCTTAAGTTGGAGGACAATGCATTTAAAGGAGAGTCCTGTGATGTAAACAATGTGGTTTTCAAAAGCTTGCAATATTTGAGAATTGGAAGTAGTGATTTAGTATCTTGGACAGTTTCAAAAGCTACTTTTCCGATACTAAAATGTCTAATCCTCAGACACTGCACTATGCTTGATGTTGTTCCATCTGCCTTTGGTGAAGTTGAGAGTCTTAAGGTGATGGAATTATATTGCACAAACGAAAAGGCCGTTATTTCTGCTCGTGAAATACACAAGGAAAAGGGTGGTGGATTTCAGCTCTCTATCAATTCTCCTTTATGACCAGTGAGTTTCATTAATTTCTTTAGTATTTCCATATATTTATTTTCCCAACTTGTTTGCACAATTTATGCATGTCTGGCCTGACTTTCTCATTATATGATTTCTACAGAGATGCCATCAATTTCCTTCTCCCAAAAGTTGAATCCGCAACCCCAAAGACCTCACATTCCGATCGGACAGAACCTTTGGGATGATATAAATAACTGTAACTCAATGTCTTAATAGACAGGCCGCATCAATTTCCTGTTGAAATAAATAAAGGTAGGGCCAACTTGAATGTATTAATTATTCCAGTTTGATCAGCATGTTAGAGTGTTGAAAGATTTTCTTTCTGCTTTTCAATTTTGTTTCCAGACTACATATTGGATGTTACGTTGATTGTTTTGCACTGTCCTGCGATTCGTACGTATTGATATTTTATTTATTAATTTTTGTTGGTTTTATATTGTCTCATGCGATGCACGGACTAAATATTAAAGATTTGTTTGTAATGTTAGAATAGATAAAAAATGTTTTAATAATGGTATTTGCAGTATAGAAGAAGAAAACATGAACCACAATTTAATTGTTTAAAATTACATTTTTATTAAGTATATGACAAAATAATTATGATATTGTATTTACAATATTTAATTTAATAATTGAAAATAGTATGATACAAAAAGTTACTATTATTAAGAGCATCTCCAATGTGCACCAAATCTCAATGCCAAAACACCATCCCACCAAATTTCTCTCTCCAAGGTGTATCTGCATCGCGCCAAAACGCCAAATAAAATGGCGATAATGAACAGTGTAGCGCCATATTTGGCGCTGCACTGTTCATCCGCGGCAAATTAAAAATAGGGAAGAAAATTACCCTTTTGCCCTTACTTCTTTTTATAATTCCAAATGTATCCTTTATTTGTTTTATATGTAACTAGTAGTTGCACCCGTGCGATGCACGGCCATGTTATTATGGTGAAATATATTAAAAATTGTTTTATTCATGATATATGTTTAATAAGGTTATAGACGTCACAAATACACAAAAAATAATATTTTATTGATAAATAAATAAAACAATTACAAATTATTAAAGATTTCTTTATAAACTACATTTTGGGTCTTTGTTTAAAAGACCTCTAGATTCCCCATAAATTAAGACCTTAAGACCATCCGGATTACTGACCCGAGATACTGCAACATATAATTGGCCATGATTAAAAATAGGTTTTTTCAATATCAAACCAACATGTGAAAGCGTCTGACCTTGACTTTTGTTGATTGTCATTGCATATGATAACATAAGTGGGAATTGCTTTCTTTGAAACTTGAATGGAAGTCTTGGGTCTGAAGGAGTCAAAGATAGCCTTGGTATCAGAACCTTTGTACCTGCGTTATTGCCAGCTATGATTTTCCCCTCAATAACATGATTTCCCAATTGTGTTACTATTAACCTTGTACCATTGCACAACCCCATCGAGTGATCTAAATTTCTCAACAGCATAACTGGAGTTCCAATTTTCAACGTTAAAGAGTGGTTTGGTACACCTGAGCACCTCAAGCTATTTAAAAATTCTGTTGTGTGTACCTGAGATTGCATATCAAAGTTTGCCTCAGCCTTGCAAACAGAATCACAACTCAAATATGTCCTTGATGCAGCTTGATTAATACCATTCATGTATTCATTGACCTCGTCAACAACATCTAATGTTGGAGCTAATATAGCTCTATCCTCTAATTGTCTTTCATCCATGTTGCCAGAACGGTATTCAGGGAATGTGCTTTCAACAATTTGTTTGATAGGATCAACCTCATTTTCTAATACAATGGAAGACGGCATTATTATATTGCAATCAACATCGTTGTCTTCACTAAGATTACCATCACCTAAATCCGCAATCCACTTGGCAAAACTATCTAACTTCTCCAAATCATCTTCATTAGTAACACATCGCAATCTTAAATTCTTCGTTAGACGAAGAACTTCACAATTATTCCACAAGTAAGATGAATTAATGCTGGCTTGTATTATATCTTGTCTAGTACCTTTCGGAATAACGGGTAGAATTTGTCTAAAGTCTCCACCCAACACCACTGTTTTCCCTCCAAATGTCATTGTTGAGCTCTTTGAATTCTTGAAACGCATTAAATCTCGCATTGTGCGATCCAATGCTTCAAAGCAATGTTTGTGCATCATCGGAGCTTCACCCCAAATTATTAATTTGGATTTGATTATCAATTCAGCAAGTGGACTGCCTTGCTTGATGTTGCAGGTGGAATCTTCATTAACACCAAGCGGTATAGCAAACCTGGAGTGTGCAGTCCTACCTCTAGGTAGCAGCAACGAAGCTATACCGCTTGATGCTACGTTTAGAACGACCTCGTCTTTGGATCGTAAAGCTGCTGAAATTGTCTCCCACAAAAATGTTTTTCCTGTTCCACCGTAACCATATACGAAATACATTCCACCTTTCTCATTTTCAACATCTCCCATCACCTTATTGTATATGAGTAGCTATTCATCAGTTAGTTTCGGATGCAACGAATTATGTTGATGCATTAGAGCTTCCCTATCATATGACATTTCCTCTAACAACAACCTATTACCACAAATCCAATCATTGTTTCCATCTGGCATTGGCATAGGTGGGTAATCTGATAGAGATTTGTTCCAAGCATTCAACAATTTCTCCATTTCAAGCATCGCAAAATTCTTTTTTTGAGATTCATTCATATTTAAATCTACAATTTTAATAAACAAATGTAAGATGTAATGCATTTAAACACAGATTTTAATAATAATATTAAAATAAATTATACCTGAGACTGAGAGGTTCCTTCTATAAACATATTCAGCATCATCTGATAAGTATTGCCAAACCATCTCCCAAACATTTTCTGGTTTGGACATCGAACTGGATGTTAAAAGGGTAACAAACAACTTCCGTAGAGAACTTGCTAAAGACCACGTTGCTGCCTCAGTGATTGCATCAATATACTCTTTATCATCTTCGATTAATCTGCGGGCATAACACGCATCTCTAAATGAATTGTATTGAACACCATCGACCTTTTTAATCTCATCAAATGAAGTCGGTCCACGAACTATATTAAGTAAACACCTAAGATAAAAGATCTCACCAGTATTTGGTGGCACATAAAAGATTCGCCCAATTGCCCAATTTCTTTGCCTAGGTTGCCATTCTCTTTTATCATTCTTCCAAACAAATTTGGTTGGCATTTGTGAATAAGTCAACTGCCTCCCTGCTGCATACTTTTTATTAGCTTCAAACCAGACAGTAAACATGCTTTGAGCTACTGTTGGTCGATTTACCACATCATCGACCAAATCGTCGTCATGAAATATTATTGATTGCTCATTGGGAAGATGGAAACTCAAACGCTCAACAGATGGGTTCCTAAATTGTATGTCAAACCCAAAAATCCTCCACGCAGCCTCAGGGGGTGAAATATATCTACAGTCATAGTACATCTTGATTTCATCTACAATTTTCCCAGTAGATTCTTCCACCCCACTGTTGTAGAATTCAGCTGTGACCCTATCATTCCCTTTGTTGACGTACTTGAATAAGTACTTTATTGATCTAGATTGGTTGCACCACTCCACATTAATATGAGCCTTGTACTTCATAAGCAAATGTCTATTGTGTGGCACAACATATCTACTATCAAGGTCAATCCCATTCTTCCGTATTGTACGACCATTATCTCGACGTCGATAGATTGGATATCCATCGAAATCCACTGTTGAGTTTTCAACAAATTTTTTGGGGAAGAATTTAGAGCAAATACCATTTATCATGCAAGGTGAGTTCTTCCTCGCTGCACCACATGGACCGTGAATCATAAATTCTTCTACAGCTTTATAATACTCAGGGTCACACAATTGACTTGGAATCTCAGCATGTGTATCTGCATCGCGCCAAAACGCCAAATAAAATGGCGATAATGAACAGTGTAGCGCCATATATGGCGCTGCACTGTTCATCCGCGGCAAATTAAAAATAGGGAAGAAAATTACCCTTTTGCCCTTACTTCTTTTTATAATTCCAAATGTATCCTTTATTTGTTTTATATGTAATTTTTTATTTTGTTAAATACTTATATTTAAAGTTTGTATTATTAAATAAAAATTATACCATTTTAAAGATCTCATTAATACGATCGAAACAAGACTAATATTGAATATATATTAATTAAAATTTCAAATACATCAAACATAACTAGAACATAATAAAAGTTAAAATACATACGCGATACATCAAACATGACTAGAACATAATACAAATTAAAATACATACGACATAATATTAATATTAGAAAATACAAACACAATTTAAAAATATATATAATAAAATTAATAATTTCCTAGTCCACTCCCACTTCCTCCCAAATTATTAAAGTATTGATCAAATTCACGATTTGATTCAACTCCTTCTCCATGCTCTTGATTTCTCTTTGCAACAATTTGTAGTTGTTGGCGTCTAATCGACTCACGCACAGCTGGATCTTCTATCAAATTTAAATTCACTGTACTCTTAAGATTTTGTTATCTTCTTTTTTGTTTTGCCAATGTTATTTTGTTCGCTGCATTTTAAGCTTTAAACAAATCAAGCTCATATTGTTTTTGGAATAGCTCATGATTGTGTTCGAACATTCCTTTGAACTGTGCAGTTTGTTGTTCCATTGCGGCAATAAATTGATTGCGCTCATCCGAGAGTTTTTGCTTCATCTTTTCCTTCTTCCTTCCCGTAGGACGTTAACCTACATTGTTAATTTCATTACAATGTTCATCAGATTCAAAATCATCATTCAAATCAACAGGAAATGAGGAAGAGCCTATTGACTTCTCGATTCCGAAAGATTGTGATTGTGATCCTTCAGAAGTTCTTTTTTCGACCTCCAACATTTAGCAAGCTTCCAGTTCTGCAATATTTCTGCATGTCTTTGACAATAGGCCACACATAATCAAACTTAAATCCACCTTTGAATTTGGGATCTTGCTTTACTAACTCCTTTGCTCTATCAAGCTCTTATAAATAAAATATAATTCAAATTAAACAACGCAATTAAAACAAAAAATAAGAAAAAACTAAATAACACAAATTTACAAGATACTCACAATATCTTGTTCAGATGCACCACTTGGGTTCATGTTCTCCATTTGTTGAATGCATCCTCTTAGTTTGCTGACCGATGTTGATATACTTGCCCAACGACTATGCAGCGATCTTGCAGTTCGGTCAGTACAAATGTGTGCTGGTAGCATACGAGCATATTCTTGTGTAATGTGTTCCCATAAATCTGTTCTAGAGCGATCATTGCCCTTTTTAGGATCTTGGGCAATATCCATAAATATAGTACAAAGGAGTTTATCTTCTTCATTTGAGTATGAGGAAGTTCGGATTGAACGTGAGGCTTTTGACATATTTCAATGACTATTAAAGTAGAAAGAAATGTAAAGAGATTTTGATATTCAAAAGATAGGTGGTATTACTTCTAAAATATTATTGCAGTATTTATAGAGATACAAGCATACCAAATGAACGGATGTGATCTTCGCGATCTAATCTAACGGTTCAAAGCAATTCAGATAAAAGCTGATTCAAAGATGCATGTGATAGCTTTTATTGGAATATGTGTGGAAAAGGACAAACATACCAATGAACGGATGTGATCTTCGCGATCTAACCTAACGGTTCAAAGCAATTTAGATAAAAGCTGATTCAAAGATGCATGTGATAGCTTTTATTGGAATATGTGTGAAAAATGACAAGCATACCAATGAACGGATGTGATCTTCGTGATCTAATCTAACGGTTCTAAGCAATTCAGATAAAAGCTGATTCAAAGATGCATGTGATAGCTTTTATTGGAATATGTGTGAAAAAGGACAAGCATACCAATGAACGGATGTGATCTTCGCGATCTAATCTAACGGTTCAAAGCAATTCAGATAAAAGCTGATTCAAAGATGCATGTGATAGCTTTTATTGGAATATGTGTGGAAAAGGACAAGCATACCAATGAACGGATGTGATCTTCGCGATCTAATCTAACGGTTCTAAGCAATCCAGATAAAAGCTGATTCAAAGATGCATGTGATAGCTTTTATTGGAATATGTGTGAAAAAGGACAAGCATACCAATGAACGGATGTGATCTTCGCGATCTAATCTAACGGTTCTAAGCAATTCAGATATCTTTTATACCAAAGATACATGTGATATCTTTTATCCCTATAAAAACGTTCTGCACCACCAACAAATTGAACATTCATCCTTATCATCTATCTCTAAACATACGAATTCAAATATGAATTCCAACACTGGAAAACGTCCTATGCCATTTTCTTCATCATCATCCTCATCATCGGATTCCGAGCACAATCTCGCAAGTGCAATACGAGCACAAACACAATTATTAACCAATGCATATACTAGCCACAACCTTGCCATAGCTTCCTACATGGAATATATGGATAATCAACCCCCAAGCCATGGAGGTTCGACTTTTGGTCATAGAGTGATTCATCGTGATCGTGAAGAAGCAGATCGAAGATTATGGAATGATTATTTTTCAGAGTATCCAAAATATTCTGAAGCAATGTTTCGTAGACGATTTCGAATGAGTCGAAATTTGTTCCTGCGAATTGCCAATGCTGTTAAAGGCCATGACAACTATTTTGTGCAACGGAAGGATAGAATCGGTAGACTGGGCTTATCTACTTTACAAAAAGTTACAGCGGCGTTTCGAATTTTGGCATACGGAATACCAGCAGATGCAACAGATGAATATATCCAGATTGGAGAATCAACTGCAATTGAAAGTTTGAAGAGATTCTGTCAAGCAATTGTAGAGGTCTTTGGAGAGCGATATCTAAGAGCACCTGATGCTAATGATGTTGCACGGTTGCTTCAAATTGGCCAAAAACGTGATTTTTCAGGGATGCTTGGGAGTTTAGATTGCATGCACTGGACTTGGAAAAATTGTCCAACCGGCTGGGCTGGACAATATGCTGGGCGGAGTAGAGAACCAACTATTATTCTTGAAGCTGTAGCTGATTATGATTTGTGAATTTGGCATGCACATTTTGGCATGCCGGGGTCTAATAACGACATTAATGTCTTGGAGGGATCTCATTTGTTTGCAAATCTTGCAAACGGTGTAACACCTCCTTGTCATTATGTTATTCAAGGACAGAACTACAACACATGATATTATTTAACCGATGGTATATATCCAAAATGGTCCACATTGGTACAAACAATCCATGAACCTCGAGGGCCAAAAAAGAAGTTATTTGCGATGATGCAAGAATCGTGTATAAAAGACGTAGAACGTGCATTTGGAGTTCTCCAATCACGATTTGCAATAGTCAAGGGACCGACACGTTTTTGGGATAAATGTGTATTGCATGATATAATGTCATCGTGCATCATAATGCACAGTATGATCATTGAGGATGAACGTGATGAGCAAGCAGATATACAAGGTTGGAATGAAGCATCGGCTCCTGAAGTTGATATAGCTAGAGATGAAAACATTATATTTCAAGAATTTTTTGCTCGGCATAGACAAATTAAAGATAAAGAAGCTCATTATGCACTCCGTAATGCATTAATTGAGCATTTGTGGGAATGATATAGTAATTCCGATAATTAAATGTACTAGATGTTGTATGCTATATTATTATTGGAATAAATTCAATTTTCAAAAATATTGTTAAATTTGATTTTTTTAAAATAATTAATCTTATAAAAAATTAATATTAATAAAAATTATTGTTTACATCATAAGTTATAATTTATATTAAACTAATGAAGTTCGAACTAAATTATATTAAACTAATTATATTCGAACTAATAATTGAGAAATTAAATTATTTTAGTGTAAAAGTTTGGTGTTTTGGTGTTTTGGTGTTTTGGTGTAAATGGGTTGGAGATGAATAAAATTTGGTGTGAGAATATGCTGGGAATATTCCTTCTGATGTGACATTTGCTGGAAAAATTTGGTGTTTTGGAGATAGAGGGGTTGGAGATGCTCTAATCGCAGCTAGTGGTATACATATTTGATCTTGAGTATGTCTACTCCTAATATGCTACCCATGCGATGCATGAAATGAATATTGAACAACATTATAATAATATTATTTATTAAAAAATACATAACCTAATATCAACATAGTTGCAATTCATATTCATATTCATATTCATATATATATATATATATATATATATATATATATATATATATATATATATATATATATTACGGAGTACAATAATAACAATAACAATAACACTAACACTAATAATAATAAGCATTCAAAAAAAAACACTAATAATAATAATAATAATAATAATAATAATAATAATAATAATAATAATAATAATAATAAAATAATAATAATAATTATTATTATTAATCGCAGCTAGCGGTATACATATTTGATCTTGAGTATGTCTACTTCTGTTCATGGATTACCCAAGCCACGACAGTTCCAACTCAGCGTACTCATTGGGATGGGCGGGTCTAGTAACCAGATCCCGCCTGATGCAAGTTTTTTGAAATATCCGCCATAGTAATGTCACTGCCACTAATTACCCCATTCCTGCTTCCGCCACCCATCCAACAATAATGCCGTGTGTCCACCATCAGAATTCGTTGTCGTGCTTGCCGCTTCAGATTGCACCGGGTTGCCGTCTTTATCAAGTAGCCATGGTGCACCAATTTTGCGTGGACCCCTCCTTATTCCAGCACGCAGATCATCATTGAAAGGATAACTTTCCACTGGCAACCCCGCATTCCTTGCGCCCAAACAGTACTTGTGGAGATGGTCGAACATACCACAAAAGAAACAAAAGTTGTGGAGTATTAGCTTTCGTATTTAAAATTCACCCAACATGTAGTCTTGTAACGGTTCATGAATTTCATACGTACGTCGCTTTATGGGTTTCGCTACAGGAATGGAAACCCTAATCCGGTAAAACATCTTCCACGGAGCATTAGCAAACCTATCATCAGATTTCAGAAAAGAGCCCAAAAAATTCCCTATCTGTTCAAGAATTCCACTAGATGTATACCCCAATGGGAGATCATGAACCTGTATCCACATATCAACCGTATCCAGTGGAACCCTAATCGGAATAACACCATCCAGGACTTGCTTGCAAACCAAGGTACTATTCTCAAACGACCACGAACCGCCATCGAGAACCAGCTGCATGTCCGTTTCATGGTAGAAAACAAACAAAAAGAGGTTAGGTTGTATTTCTGTCACCTGAACACCCTTAACCGGCTGCCAAACCGAGGCCATAACCTGGCTCATGAACTCCACCTTCACAATCTTCGTTGTCAAAAATCTGCCCACAAGTTTCCATGTATCACGGCGCTCCTCCGACGCATCACCGTCACCCTCCCCACACGGCTCGAAAACAGTCTCATCCTCCTCCAACGCAATATCACTCCACCTCGCCGTAATCCTCCCTACCTCCTCCACGGTTGCTGCGTCGTCCATCCGGGAGGTTCCTTCATGTTGCGCCATGCTCGCCGATTGCAAGAGAGAAGAAAACGCTAAACACCGCTTGAAAACCCTAGAAAAGTCGAGGGAAAGATGAGAGAACCCTAGAGAGCTAGAGAGAGAATTTTTTTACGCAATATGCTATTATTATGTTGATTTTAAAGTTTATTGTTACTTGTATTATTATTTGAATTTGATTTTTTTTGAAAGAAATTTGAATTTGAAATAACTACTTTAATTATATAACTAACGTATTTAAATAAAACTTGTAAATAAAATAACGGGCAATATTTGTCGAAAATCTCCACCAAAAACTTATTCATTTGAAAAAAGATTATTTATATAAGAACTATATTTATTTTATATCTAATTTCACATCTTTATATATATATGAAGTCAAATTAATTATAATTAAAATTTAAATTAATATATACACAAATTATATTAAATATAAAATTTTACCAATAAATTTAAACACAATAAACTTTTTTCTATACTTCATTCTATCTTTTCAAAACTTTACCAATATGCACTTCAAATGTTCATATTAAGAATTTTTTAATTTTTATTTTGAAAAAAGTCATAGAATTGAATGATCGAGTCAAACATGTACGCCCAGTAATTTTTTATTATCTGCCTAGCTGGTGATGTTAAGGGAAAACATTAAAAAACGTGTTGCTCAAATAATTGAGCAACTAGTAAACCTTTTTTTAGATCAGAGATTCTGTATACAAACAATCAAAACCAAATAAATTAATTAATAAAATAAATATACTGCAATATACTACAATTTATTATTATTATTTCTCTAAGAAAAAAAATAATGCCAAAAATGTGGTTGTTAGGAGTCGGTAGACGAGCTTGGAATAAATTTTGTTTTTAAAACATTGACCTGTAAAACGCATTATTATTATTATTATTGTTATTGTTATTATTATTGTTGTTGTTATTTCTCTCAAGAAAAACAAATAATAATGCCAAAAATGTGGTTGTTAATTAGGAGTCGGTAGACGAGCTCTGTATAAATTTTGTAAAACATTGACCTGTTAAACTTATTATTATTATTATTATTATTATTATTATTATTATTATTATTATTATTATTATTATTATTATTATTATTATTATTATTATTATTATTATTATTATTATTATTATTATTGTTATTATTGTTATTATTGTTATTATTATTATTATTATTATTATTATTATTATTATTATTATTGTACACTACTGGAAATTATGGAATTTCCGACCACCTGAAAGTGATCTTAAATCAAGTCGAAAGTCTTGTTCCGACCACTTTTGGTATCCGGAAAAACCTTTGTTGCTATTTCCGACCACTTTTTGGTATCAACTTGATTTAAGATCACTTTCAGGTGGTCGGAAATTTCATAATTTCTAGTAGTGGTAGTAGTAGTAGTTTTTTTGTTTCAAGTTTGTTGTTTTCATATTGTTTGTCCTATCGACATTAACATATGAATTGGTAGCTCATTTGATTCGTGGAAAAGAATTGACGAGAAATTGAATATAAATACATAAAAATTAATTAGAATATTCATTTTATTGTTTGATTGGTGAAAAATAAGTTGTTGAAAATAATATAAGAATTCATATATCTTTTTTAGGGTGAAATTATCTTACAGATCCTTATCCGTAAGAAGGATGTCGGGTTATTTATACGGAAAAATATAAGGGATAAAGTACAAATAAGCCATTGAACTATTTGAAAATCAGCAATTAAGCCATCCAACTCAAATAACCTCCAAATAAGCCCTAGATCTTCTAGACTTCTATCTTAATAGTTCAGTCTCCCAAATTAGGGGTTTTCTCTCTCTTTCTCCCAGATTAGGGTTTGACAACTTCCGCAGAGCAGCATCTGATCGGGGTACCGTAGCTTGGCTTCGACGGACGGAACATAGCGTGATACCATGGCAGCAGCGACGCAGCAGAACCAGGATGAAGGAATGGAGAGGATGACCGAGAGATGGGCTGATATGGTGTTGGAGGATGAAGAATGTGGCGTTGAAGCTGGCGGCCTTTACCAGCCGGTCGACGAGGAGGGCAAGCAGGTGTATTCGGTGGTTGGGCGCTTCCTCACGGCTAAATTGATTAAAGTTGAATACATGCGACACGTGATGGCCTCGGCATGGATGCCGGTTATGGGGATGAGAGTCACGGAACTGCACTCTAATTTGTTCTTATTTGCCTTCTATCACGTCACGGACATGAAGCGGGTGTTAGAGGAGGGACCGTGGTCGTTTGAAAATCATACACTTGTATGTCGCCAGGTATGTGATGGTTTTTTGCCGGGGGAAGTTAAGCTGGATACCGTAGACATGTGGGTACAGGTTTATGATTTGCCGATGGGGTATACATCGAATGCAATATTGGAACAAGTTGGGAATTTTGTGGGAACGTTCATTCGGTGTGATGATCGTAAAGTGGGTGGATCCTGGAGAACGTTTTACCGTGTGCGTGTGTCGGTGCCGGTGGACAAGCCCCTAAAGCGGAGAATGAAATTGATACGCAGGGATAAGTCTTGGGGATGGGTAAATCTGAAGTACGAACGACTACATAATTTCTGCTTTTGTTGTGGATTATTAGGCCATCTTGATAAGTTTTGTGTGAAGGCTCGGGTGTCCGGTATTATGCCTGAGTCGTACCCGTACGGGCCGTGGATGAGGGCAGGGAAAGTCAGAGGGCCGAGGCCGATAGGAGCTTCGTGGTTGTTGCCACCGGTTGGTGGAATAAAACCGATGGAGGCAGACGGCAAAGGGGGTGAAACGGAGGCCATGGATGAGGTTGTAATGGCGCAGCATCAGGCTGTTTCGGATGAGGATGTTATGGCCTCATCCAAACGCCGCCGTGCGGATACATCAGAAGTGGAGGGGGCGGGTACGGTGGTGAGTGATGAGGGGGCAACCAATACCGTTTCAAAAAACTTGCATGCGGCGGGTCTTGTTTCACAGGCCCGCCCGACCCAATGAGTACGCTAAGTTGGAACTGTCGTGGCTTGGGCGATCCACGTACAGTTCGTGAAATAGAGGGCATGGTGTCCCGGAAGAAGCCTGATTTTGTGTACCTGATGGAAACTAAAGTAGGACGAGACAATGCAGAGAGGTTACGAGTGATGCTTGGGTTTGAAGGGTTGTTTTATGTGGATCCTGTAAGAATGGGTGGTGGTTTGGCTTTGTTATGGAGAAAGAATGATACGGCAAGACTCATAAGTTTCTCGAAAAATTATATTGATTTGGAAATTAGCATACCTGGTTTCCCGAATTGGCGGATGACTTGTTATTATGGTTTTCCACTCCGGAGTAGAAGAAGGGAGGCATGGAATCTCATTAAATCATTAAAGCCACAATCCAGTCTACCATGGGTTATGATAGGGGATTTTAATGATCTCTTATTCCAGCACGAGAAGAGGGGAGGTAATCCACATCCCAATTACCTTTTACGGGGTTTTGGGGAGGCCATTGAGTATTGTGGCATGACTCAACTACCAATGGAGGGTTATCAGTTTACATGGGAGAAGGGGAAGGGTACAGATCGGTGGATGGAAGAGAGACTGGACAAAGTGTTGGCCACAAATACCTGGCGCGATAGTGTCCCGGGGGCAAGAGTGACTAATATACTGACCAGAAGATCGGATCACTCCTTTCTCTTTCTGGGGATTCATGACCTGGTAGGGAGGGGGAGGACTCGAAGAAAACAATTCCGGTTTGAGATGGCATGGGTCTATGATGAGGGCTGTAGGGCTGTGGTTGAGGAGTCATGGAACGAGAAAAGACATGATGGGCTACATGAGTGCATTGCATATTGTGGAAAGTGGTTATCTCGTTGGGGGGGTGATCGTTACCATAAGTTTGGAGAACGAATTAAGCAGTTCCGGGGTGACCAATTACGGTTGAGAGGGCGAACGGACCCAGAATCGTTGACTGAATTCCAGCGACTGGAGGAGGAGTTGAGCCGTGTTGAGGCCCAGGAGGATGCATACTGGAAACAAAGAGCAAAACAACATTGGTTGAAAAATGCTGATGCCAATACAAGATTTTATCACAGGTATGCTTCTCACCGTAAAAAGAAAAACTTGCTAACTAGAATTATGGATAATACTGGGGATTGGGTGGAAGGGGAGGCGATGAATGATGTAATCTTGGGTTATTTTGCCAATATCTTTTGCTCTAGTAATCTGGAGGATGGGCAGGATCTATTTGAGAAAGTTACACCGAAAGTTACACAGGAGCATAATGATGCATTACTACAACCCTTTAGGGTGGATGAGGTTAGGAGTGCTCTTTTTGCAATGTTTCCTGATAAGGCACCAGGCCCGGATGGAATGAATCCAGGCTTTTACCAGCACTTCTGGGATGTGGTAGGTGGGGATCTGGCGAATTATATTGTTGAATGCCTTAATACTCGAGTTTTTCCCTCTGCATTAAATGAAACGAATGTTGTGTTAATACCAAAAAAGGATATGCCTGAGCTGGTGACAGATTTAAGACCCATAGCCCTGAGTAATGTTGTTTATAGGGTAATGGCGAAAATGATTACACAGAGAATGAAGCCCTTGATGGATAATATTATATCTGGTACACAAAGTGCATTTATACCGGATAGGCTCATTACTGACAATATTTTGATAGCAGCGGAAGTGGGCCACTTTCTGAATAGGAAACAATGTGGAATGGTTGGCTGGGGAGCTTTAAAGTTAGATATGGCAAAGGCTTATGATCGAATGGAATGGCCTTTCCTGCAAGGGATGTTAAAGGCGTTGGGATTTGATGAGAGATGGGTGGACCTAATTATGTTATGCGTGACTACAGTGTCTTATAGATTTTTGATAAATGGCTCTCCTAGTGACCCGGTCACGCCTACACGTGGTCTCAGACAGGGGGATCCATTTTCACCATATCTTTTTATTATATGTGCAGAAGGGCTATCCCTACTACTTCAACAGGCACAGGATAATGGTTTAATTCATGGTTGCAGAGTGGCACGAGGAGCACCCCCGATTTCTCATTTATTCTTCGCGGATGACAGCCTCTTGTTCTTTAAAGCTAATCAGAATGAGGCAGTTGAGGTTAAAAATTGTTTGGCCAGGTATGAAATTCTCTCGGGACAAGTGGTCAATTACCATAAGTCTAGTATTTGTTATAGCAAGAATACATGTAGTGGGGATAGGGAGATGGTGGCGCAGATCCTGGGTGTTGCCCAAGCTCCGAATTTTGGTAAATATCTGGGTTTACCGGCTTTTGTAGGAAGGAATAAAAAGGCTGCTTTTGCATATATTGAGGATAAAATCAGGCAGAGAATCAGCTCATGGAATAAGAAACTCTTAACGCAGGCAGGTAAAGAGGTATTATTGAAAAGTGTAGTCCAGGCAATGCCTACCTTCTCAATGAGTGTTTTTCTATTGCCGTTATCGGTCTGTGCAGCTATTGAACGAACCATGAATCGATATTGGTGGGGATCAGGAACTGACAGGGGTATTCATTGGAAGGCATGGGATAAATTGTGTGTACCCAAGAAATATGGAGGCCTGGGTTTCAAGGATCTGAAGGCATTTAATTTGGCTATGTTGGGGAAGCAAGCATGGCGTTTCCTAACTAATACTGATTCATTGGTATCCCGTGTCTATAAAGCTAGGTATTACCCTAAGCTATCTTTCTCTGATGCGAGTGTAGGGAATAATCCTAGCTACTGCTGGAGGAGTATTATGGCTGCTAAAGAATTAATTACCAGTGGGGTGCGACGACGTATTGGAAATGGTGAGTCGACGTTAGTATGGAAGGATCCTTGGCTCCAGGATGAGTTGGATCCTATGGTCCAGACTGAGATGCCGTTACAGCTAGCAGATGCTAAGGTTGCAGGGTTGATTGACCAAACAACTGGATCATGGGATCCCCACATTTTAGCAGATATTTTCCATCCAAATGATATACCTAGAATCCTAAAGATCCCCATCTCCCCGGATTATGAAGATACTTGGTATTGGTACGGAGATCCTAATGGTTGCTACTCAGTGAAGAATGGATACAGGCTTATAGTGGGCACCTATAATGCTAGCATGGGTCTTGATAAATGGAACACCCTATGGCGACTCAAGATACCACCAAAATGGAAAATGTTCCTATGGAGAGCTATGAGCAATATATTACCCACTACTAATAACTTGCTTATAAAAAGGGTGGAAGTTGATCCGACATGCGCAATGTGTGGTTTAATGCATGAAGATATAATGCACTCATTAGTGTTGTGTGACTATGCAAAAGCCATATGGAGCCAATCTAACCTTCCCATCCCCCAAGTTGTGACAAATGTTTTTTATGAATGGTTTGGAACATTGTTAGATGTTCTAGATTCTGATGTAATATTGTTTGCAGCTGCGATACTATACAATATTTGGAGGGCCCGGAACGAAGCGGTGTGGAATGCTTATCTACCAATGCCCAAGAAAGTGTTAGCCACGGCCTTAGCCGTCATGAAGGCATGGCAGCGCCTACATGTTACTGCCGACCAGCCGAATGCTGTCCACCAACACCCCACGGTACCGCCGCAAGCTGCGTTACCACCCAGCTCTCCCGTGTTATTGCAACAACAGCCGCCACCTCAACATGCCGAAGATCATCTACCCCAACCAAGGCGGTGTCTCATCGATGCAGGGTATCACCCAACGTCCATGACGGCCACCGCTGGAGCAGTATTGTTCACCCACACTGGCGACTATATATCAGCGTTCTCTGCACCTCCGCAAAGCTGCTTCTCACCGCTTATGGCGGAGGCTATGGCGTGCAAGGAGGTATTATCATGGCTCAAGAATCGGGGGGAACAATCAGTTAACCTCTTCACAGATTGTCAGACGCTACTCTCTTATTTGTCGTTAACTACTATCCAGACACGATCCTATCTTGGTTACGTCCTGGAAGACTGCAGAACCTATTTAAGTATGTTTGATTATTGTTCGGTTAATTTTATTTCTAGATCGCATAATACTTTAGCTCATACTTTAGCAACTGCTGCTTTTAATTATACATTACCGATGTACTGGGACAATGTCCCCCCTGACTCTATTTTGATTCATCTACAAATACAACCCAATGGTTGACCTTCAAAAAAAAAAAAAAAAACCTCCAAATAAGCCATTGAACCTACAAAAAAAGATCAATTAACATTTTTAACAGGTTATATTACCCTTTTTGCTGACTGGATTGCCACATATGTATTTTATTATTTATTTATTTATTTATTATTATTATTATTATTATTATTATTATTATTATTATTATTATTATTATTATTATTATTATTATTATTATTATTATTATTATTATTATTATTATTATTATTATTATTATTATTAATCATTTGTAAACAGCACACCCACCGGCAGAACTCGGCCATGCCGGAACATCTTGAATCTGCCATCCACAACAAGCAGTTCCAGAGCAACCATCCATTGAAAGGTCACCGGAAAAATACTCCACCAACAGCCAAGACATGAGCATTAACACTGGATGACTGGAAGAAGAGGGCTCGAGCCAAGCAACCGACAAATCTAAAAAAGCTCCAAGCTGCAAAAATCTCCAAACTCGAAGAACATCCAGCGAGCCACACAACAATCTGCAAAAATCTCACGGAGACCGCTCCAAACTGGTCGGAAAACACAGGGAACGCCGGAAAATCATAATCCCAACGCACAGACACTCCAACTCCACACCACACCACAACAAGCACACTGGAAGACTTAGCCGGAGATATTCCCCACGCACCAACTGCCGCCGGCAGAAAATACACAAACAGCTACTAACGAGACCAAAGCACTACGCCACAAACCCCACCCCTGACCCCACAGACCGTCCTCAATGAATAAATAGGTCGCCAGAGCCCGGAGATAGCCATCAACACACATTCTTGGTCGTGAGCATAAACACTTTAAGACTAGCAGAAGAAAGCACACCCAGTAACCCACTCAACATCAGATGAAGATAACTCCTTGCCGGAACCATATTCGTGGTCGCATGAAGGACCCGTTGAAAATCACGTACCTGGGAAGAGGAGCGAGCCACCATCTCGCAAAATGTAAACCGCATTTTTTTTTATAAAACCAACCTGGGAACAGAAGCTCCATTTCCTCCGGTCACCGTGGAAAATGGATAACCAAAGCTTGAAGCGGGTAGTCATGTCTGTACTGCCTTGTCCAGGAAGCATGTGGACGCCAGTAATGGTGGTCGCCGGAACAAAAGTCAACAAAGAGTTCAAATCTTTTCCAATCCAAAAAGCATCTCCCATGCATTTTAATATTTTAATGGTACAAAGAGGGCCATCAAGTATTACAAACACATTGCCACGAAAGCAAGAAGAGTTTGATTTTTCAAAAAAACAAATCCTTTGTATTAATTCTCATCGGAACAGTGAAAGGATTCACAGTCGCACCACCAACATAATTCCAAAAATAATTCGCAATTGTATTATGCAAGTCTTTAGTGTTAATCCAATCCAAAATAGTGACAGCATGTTTGGTTCACGGAATGAATTTGGAGGGAATAGGAATGCTATTCCACATGGAATAGGTAAGGAATAGAATATGAATTGTATTCTGTTGTTTGGTTGGCTGAAGGAATAGACTTTAGTAATTGTATTCCAGTGTTTGGTTGGTTAAAGGAATAGAAATGGAATAGGTTTTAAAGACATAAATACCCTTATACATAATAATAATAATAATAATAATAATAATAATAATAATAACAATAATAATAATAATGAATATGATTATTTATTTATATTTATATTTGTATTTATATACATGTATATGCATGTGTGTGTGAGAGAATAATAATAATAATAATAATAATAATAATAATAATAATAATAATAATAATTATTATTATTATTATTATTATTATTATTATTATTATTATTATTATTATTATTATTATTATTATACAAATACATATTTATTTTTATATTTATTTTCTCACTTATCCCACATCGGTTGGAGAAGTAAGGAATGGAGCCTTGAGGCTCCTATAAAAGGAGCCTCAAGGCTCCATAATTTCAATTGCAATGCTCATCCGCTAGGCAAGCTTGCAATGCCCATCCGCTAGGCATGCAGATGAGCAGACTACTTAATTTTGGAGCCAAGGCTCCATAATTAAGGAGTCTTATACAGTTATTTTTTTTATTTATATATATATATATATATATATATATATATATATATATATAAACTGTCAAGGCCGGTGTTTTGAGAAAATACTTTTCTTTTCTCAAAATGCCAATTGCAAACGCTACAAAATGTATATATATATATATATATATATATATATATATATATATATATATATATATATATATATATATATATATATATATATATAAACTGTCAAGGCCGGTGTTTTGAGAAAATACTTTTCTTTTCTCAAAATGCCAATTGCAAACGCTACAAAATGTGTGTGTGTGTGTGTGTGTGTGTGTGTGTGTATATATATATATATATATATATATATATATATATATATATATATATATATATATATATATATATATATATATATATATATATATATATATATATATATATATATATATATATATAGATTGATGGATAAAAATTATAATTAATTAAATATTATATAATGTGCAAAGGGTATTTTTGGTATTTGTGATATAAAAGCTATTCCCAAGGGCATGGGAATAGCTAATACCAAGGCCCCCCCTAGGAATGGCTATTACCCTTGCGAAGGTAATAGCTCATTCCTAGGCATGCTATTCCCTTGGCAAAATGATCTAACCAAACGATGGAATAGGTCTATTCCAAGGAATGTTATTCCATTCCTGACCTATTCCATGAACCAAACATGCCATGAAAGAATTCATTATTCGGATGAAGAAAAAGGGAAAGAATGAGCGAAGAGCTTGGCAGTAAGCAGCTATATAATCCAGGTAGATTATAATAATAATAATAATAATAATAATAATAATAATAATAATAATAATAATAATAATAATAATAATAATAATAAAATAAAATAAAATAAAATAAATATGTGGTAATCCAGTCAGCAAACAGGTAAGTGAACCTGTTAAAAAGGTTAATTGCTCTTTTTTTGTAAGTTCAATGGCTTATTTGGAGGTTATTTAGTTGGATGGCTTAATTGCTGTTTCCCAAATAGTTCAGTGACTTATCTGTACTTTATCCCAAAATATAATACTAATTATGAATAAAGTGTTTGTTACTTATAAAGACTAATGTATTATTTTTAAAGAAAAATATTATACTTTTACATCAAAATGTACAAATATTACATTTTTTAAAAAAGTATTATAATTTCTTATATAAGTAATAACCAATTTATTCATGATTAGTATTACATTTTTCAGTATCAGTATTACATTTTTATCTTGTGATGTCCAACTAAAACAATGAAGAATAAAATAATTTGTTAGTAACAAGTGTATTTAGATTTTGATGATACCAAACTGTCTATGAATGTAGACCCCCATTTTCCTTTTATAGATAGGTGTCTTGTGACAAACGAGAGTTCTTGTAACTCAACGATTGATTCACACTATGAAGTGTACGAATCCTTCTTGAGACTAGAATAATAGGTCTACATAAAGACTTGAAGACGACAAAATGATCGAAAGATGCTTCCAGACGAAAGATGGATTGAGCAAATCTCGAATAGACAGCTTTTGACAAAAAGTATCTCTCGTGAAAGAAAAAGGACGAAAGATAAAGTCAATCTTTCGACCATCATCTCCAAGTGAACAAGTCAAAGACAGACTTGTAAAAGACAACATTCATTTAAGTGAAGCATTGAGAATGTTGTCTATAACTCAGATGGGCAAATCATTCGGACAAAAAGTGTCCTAGGAATGATCTTCACAAAAGACAAGAAACATTAAAAGACTTGTACCATCTTGTCAGAGAACAAGGACAAAAGCCATAATGCTTTTGGCTCCAACAGCTACACAGTACAAGTGCATTAAATGCTTATGCCCACTGGTTAATACACACTGGTTTTTAGGTTTGAAATCTTCATCTCTCTCCAACAGATGTATTTTTCCACCTATAAATATCTCTCTTCACCATTGAAGAAGGTGCTGGTTATATTCACTCTTGCTATCCAAAGAAAAGCTCTTCAAACAGTTCCATCTTTTAAAGTTTTTTCATAACCAGTGATCTTGTGAAGTTTTTCAAAGGCTCATCCATTTTCATACTTCACATCTTGAAGCTGTCTTGCAATTTTTCAAGTGAAGATTCATCCAGATCACAAGACAAGACTTCAACCAGTTGGAGAAACACCAGATTATCTTTCAACATCTCAACTTAGGAAGAAGTTGACAGAGGCGGAGTAAACTTGATGAGTTGAAAAACCTTTCAAGTGGCTGTCCTACTTAGTGATCAAGGAAGCTAGCTTGAAGTAGTTTGTACTAGGAGTGATAGTGCAAACCTTTCACGAGTTGTGAAAGAAGAGTGGAGTAGGCTTCGTTAACAGCCGAACCACTATAAAAATCTCTCTCCATATCTCTTTACTTTCTGCTTTATTACTTTTATTGCATATCATATCAACCAAACGCTAAATCTTTATAACGAAAGTGTGCAAAGAATATCTAAGACGAAACATTACTTCCGCTGTGCATCGCTCTGAAATGAGTTGCTTTGAAAAATTAATTAAAGTCTATTCACCTCCCTCTAAACTCTCTTTTGATCCTACCGGGACCAACATAATTAAGCAACCAGTATATATAAAGACGTGAAAATTTAATTATTAGTTCACATAAGTTTTTGCTTTTTAATTCGATGAAATTTAATATCACAATTTTATTGGTATTGTTACATTTAGTTATCTGTCACTATTTTCATATAATCAATGTTAACTTTTGAGCAATTTAGTAATTTCAAAACTTTAGTCTTGTCCTGTTTAAAATTAAAATGTTAATAAAAGGAAATTTAATGGACATTTTAATGTTTGCAATGATTTTTCTTATATTATATTGTTATTATGTTATTTATGAACTTTTTTTTGGATATATCTACGAATCTACAAATCTAATAATAGCCAATAATGTTAGACCCTTAACTGGAACATAAAAATGTTGGTTGTAATTGTTTCTTAAAATGAATGGTTTCATATATTTTGATTTTAATATTTTTTAATGATTTTTCTTATTTATCCTCTATTATATTATTTTCTCCCTGAAATAACTCTAAATTTCGTTAGTATAAACTTTAGTAACAAATATTCCGTTAACTATTTATTATTCTTAACTTATTAATTTCTATAAGAAAGGTCTTAGGTTCGAATATCACACCAATTAAGGACATAATTGTTAAACATATACTATGAATATGTTAAAATACATTAAACAATAATATAATATAAAATTTAACATAAAGTTTTATCAAATAGTTAGTCCGACTAAATACATAGCATTCAATGATTATAAATCAGGAACTTTGAAAATCATTTGATTTTCTTTCATTAAAAAAAAAAATTTAAGTTAAGTTTAACTTTTTTTTTTCGTTTAATTAATCTTCTTTTGATTATTGAGAACAAAACTTAATATTTCAGTTATGCTTTTATGAATGCATGAAAACTTTTAAAGAAAATTTTAAGTAAATTTGTACTATATTATTATAATACTCCATCCGTCCCATTTTACCTGTCTTACTTTCCTTTTTAGTTTGTCCCAAAATGTTGTCCACTTTCCTAAATTAAACATCACTATCATTCTATTTTTCCAATTTTGCCCTTATGTGCATTTCATACTTTTGAGTTAATTTATTGTACTTTGTACTATGTAGTACTTATTGTAGTCAAAATGATAAGACTATTTTTATTCATTTTACCACCTTTCTACAGTTTATTTAAACAACCAAGATAATTTTATTTTTAAATTTTAATTTTTCATTTTGATGAGCTAAATTAGTGGTGAGCATACTTACCGAAGACGAAATGAATAACCGATATCGAATCGATAAAAATTTTTCAAAAGATTTTCGTTATTTGATAAATTAGTTATGTACATTCAAAATTTCAATTATTCGATAAATCGATTTTAAATGGGTTATGCCATTCGATTTTCCGGTAATCGAGATAAACGACCGAAAATAAAAGTTCGAATTTTGATTAATTATGAAGATTTAAAATAGTTATCGGGGTTATTAATCGTAACTGACCAGTGCTTAAGCTAAATACGGAGTACTTCATAAATATGACTCCCGGTTCACTTGGAAAATTGCGGTCAAATTTTTTTCGTTATTTGATAAATATGAACATTCAAAAGTTCGATTATTCAATGAATCAATTTTAAATGGGTTATGACATTCGAATTTTCGGTAATCGACATAATCGACCGAAAACCAAACTTCGAATTTTGATTAATTATGAAGATTTAAAAATAGTTATCGGTTATTGATTGTAATTGACCGGTGCTCACCCGTAAGCTAAATACGGAGTACTATGACTCCCGGTTCACTTGGAAAATTTGCGGTCAATTTTTTTTCGTTATTTGATAAATATGGACATTCAAAATTTCGATTATTCAATGAATCGATTTTAAATGGGTTATGATATTCGATTTTTCGACAATTGACATAACCGATCGAAAACCAAACTTCAAATTTTGATTAATTATGAAGATTTAAAAAATAGTTATCGATTATTGACTTTAATCAACTTCTTCCTCATATGGTAGCTTGACTTTGTCACTTAAAAACGACAAGCGGACCTTCATCCTTCCACTTGATCATTGATGGTATTAAACACATGTTAGAGGAGTTCAGTAATGTGTTTGTTACGTTTGCTAAGAGATCAGCGAACCAGGCAGTCCACATGTTAGCTAGGCAGTCTAGTTCTTTGTCTGTTCCTTCGGAGTGGTTCTACAACCCTCCTCCTATCATTTGTAATGCGTTGTTATCTGATTTAAGTTAATGAAATCTATCTTATTTTCAAAAAAAATAGCATAAAAAAGTTGAAAAGATGGAGTATCCTGCAGGATCTAGACAGAACTTGTATAACCACATCCCCTTAGTTATGTAAAATAAAATAAAAAAAAAGCACTAGGAAATGGATAAAATTAAATAAAATAAAAAAAAGCACTAGGAATTGGATAAGACTTGTTAACTTCTTCGAAGTTTAGACAACCTGCAATAGTATAGTGTCAAATACAGTACCAAGTCATTAATCAAAGCAACTTCTTCAAAGATCAACAATCTGCAAGTCATACAGTACTAGCTTCTTCAAAGCAAATAGAGATCTCTTGTCATTCTCATCAACAAAAGCACAAAATACACTAATAAGTCATTAATCACCATAGTTCCATGTTACAATTACTCCATAGTCCATACTAGATAAACACAAAATAAAGCATTAACTACAAAATATACATCAAACTATACTACTCCTTACTTTTGCAATGATAATCACAAAATACAAAATGTACATCAAACATTAATGTTGAAGGCTTGAAATTGCTTCATTTAAAACTTCCGGATCACAAGAGATAGTGGTAGGTAGTCGACCTTCTTGTTCCAACTTTTGCTTATTTATATGCGGAATTTTGTAATTGTTCCCTCCAAACTTTTTCATGACATCAACCATGCATAGTTGTAGAGTCAAAAAAACATTATTAAGACTTTTCATTGATATATCATCAAAAGCTTTTTGAGTAGCAACAACAAGTTCATCAACATTATGTGGGGCTTCTTGATATTGCAAAGACTGAATAACTCTAAAAAAACCAAGATCTAGCACATTCATGTCCGGACTGTTTGGAGGTTGACATGTTAAACGAATGTCAAAGCCATCTTTTTGGGCAGCCTCAAGAAATTCAGCATCATTTACACTAATATGTAGCCTTGCATTGTCTTGATTGCAGGCAATACATAATCAATCAACCATTTCCTAGTAACTTCTTTATTTACTGATTCAATTGGCTTAGTTACCAGTGTTCCGGCTTCTCGATTTTTACTTCTATGCTTAGCAGCTTCCTTATAAATAAATGAGAATATTCCAAATTTTCCATCAAACATTTCATTTCTCCCTGAATCAAACTCATGGACGGGCAACAGCACATAGAAACATCACTTTGGCTATAAACTTTTTACTTTTACAAGTACGGTATGGTTCGTCTTCATCGGGCAAGAGGTAATATTTTTGAGAAGCTTTAGAGAGGAAGAACCATTTTTCATCTATATGAACACGATCATACATATCTATGAAAGATGGATTATGTGGAGGTGAATTTGAATCAATCATAGATATGCAAAATTCTAATCTAACCTTTCGATTTTCCTCGGTTAATAATGGCTTTATAGCATTTGAGTGTGACTTCAGTGATCCTTCTTTAACTCTTCTATGCAAACTTGTCTTTGACATATTTAGAGCAGTAGCCATTGAGCGAATTGTTGTACGACGATTCAAAGGAATTCTGAAAACTTCATCAGGACTAATCTGAATCTTTTTTCTGCCAAGTTCAAAGAAGTATCAACAGGCACACCATTTTTAACACAGTCAATCCCCTTTCTCCATATTCGACTAACAGTCCTTGTAGAAACAGAGTATATACTTGCAACATCTCTAATTGCTCCATGTCTTACTTTTCCTTCAACATTGTAATTCAATAAAGCTTCAAATATAATCTTTCTTTTATCATTAGGCACTCCATTAAGAAAAAGAAAAAACTAAAGATGTATGGAAGAGATTTCTAAAGAGTAAAAATAAGTTATTTTTGCAAGATAAATATACTGTCATTTTATTGACGGGTAAAATAAAGAATGCTCCATATTTTAATTGTTAAAATGTCAAATCAATTTGTCGCAAAAATTATCGCTATTTTTCTCACCAAATCTGATTCTTCTTCAATATAAATAGAGAGTGAAAACAAAAATGAAGGTGATAATCCAACTTTACCTAAGAAAATACTCTGCATTCTTTCTTGAATAAAAAAAACAAAAAAAAAAAAACACATTGTAAACGCAAAATAAGAAATAACCTACTATAGATTAGGGATCCAAAAAAAATCAACTATTGTGGAATATAAATTATCTTAAAAATTAGAACAAATTTTACAAAAATTAGACCTAAGATGATATTAAAAAGACTAACCTTTTGATTCAATTGAATTGAAGATTGTCATTGCTCATGGTTCCAATCAATGGTTGAAAGCTCCTAATGCTAGCTAGAAGAAAGCATCGACCCCTATCAATTTTCAAAAGAAGAAAAATCATAAAGATTTTGCTAGATTTGCAATGAACTCCATTTTTGTAGAGGTGAGGAAGAAGAAGTGAAAAAGGAGAGAGAATGATGATCTTGAAAGCTGAGATGCGTAGAGGTGAGAAAGAAGAAGTACAAGTGGGTTATTTGTTTTATTAATAGTACAAGTGATTTGAATATAAAGTGATAGAATGGTCAAATCATCACATGGCATGTTGGGGTAAAATAGAAAAACTAGTATTTTTTCATTGCTTCCTAAAAATCTGTGTAAATGCAAAGTAAGATACATAATTCGGGACGGAGAGAATAATATCTATTGTAATCTTATATTTTAAATTATTTATTATCATCCTCTATTGACAGCAATTGTCATTGATAAACTCTCCAAATAATTTGTTGTAATAACAAATAAACATTTAAAAAATTAATGATTTCATTATTGTGGATGAAAAAGTATGTATACCACTTTCAAAAAAACTAGTATACAAAATAAAGTCTAATAGAAATATTATTCACCGGCCTTATATTATACTCCGTATTCTATACATCTCTAGGAATTCGCACCAATATCACCATCATTTCCCATTGCTTCATAGAGAGAGAGAGAGAGAGAGAGAGTGAGAGAACAATGACGATAGTCTTGGACAAAGTGGTAGAGGAGGTAGCAACAAAGGCAGTGAACGAGCTGGTCCAAATTGTAGCTAAAAATATCAAGCTGATTGTTGGTATAGATTCGGAGATAGTTGATCTCACCTCCGAAATCGAAACGTTTAACGCCAGGCTCTTGGATGCTTCCAAGATCCCTAGGGCCAAAGAACTCCAAGTTATGAAAGTAATAGTGAAGAAGTTCCGGACTGTGGTGAATGAAGCTCAGGATGCGGTTGCGAAGTACATATCTGAGAAGAAAAACCATGAAGAAAAGACCTTCACAAAATGTTTGGATAAAGTTTCACATTTTGGAAAGGTCAATGTCTGTGCTAGTGAGATCCAGTCCCTTAGGACAAAGATGAATGCGATCCGACAAGACCACGAGAAAGATCTCCTATCCCTCACCAACTATCCAAACGATGATCCAAAAACTGATCCCTCACATTCCTCCCAGGTACCACAAAAAAACTATTCCCAAGTTATGTTTTTTTTTTTTTTTTTTTTTTTTTTTTTTCAGAAACTAAAATACACGATATATTTGTTTAGATCAATATCTAAATTGATGAGTAAGATGCTAATAGCATACTTTTAAACATGTAATTTGTAATGAATTTTGGGTATAAAAAATTATAATAGGGTTTAGGGCTTAGAGTTTTAAGATGGATTACTCTATTCTGGGTAAAAATTGTTGAATGTGAGCTAAAGAGGATTTTCAGCGTGGCTAGCAGAGACCTAAAATGGGATCGAAAAGCCAGATAGAACATGTCTAGAAATGGGTTTTGACTTTGTTTACATCAATTATTCTTCCAAAAGACTGAACCCCAACCCGATCCGACAAAGCATTTGAGAGGATGTAAATCATGGTAACTCAACTGAACATGAACCACAGAGGTTAGATCTGTGCTCACTGCCCACAAGGAAATGGGTTTTGACTTTGTTTACATCAATTATTATTATTATTATTATCGTTGTTGTTGTTGTTGGTGTCGTCTATTTTTAGTTTTTTTTTTTTAAATTTTAATTCTCCAGTATTTATTTTGATTTTCCAAAAGAACAAGTAAATGTTAACTTTATCCAATTTTTATTTTTCAAAAAAAAAATCCGTTAATAAATGCACTTTAAATTATTTCTCATGAAGGCCTATAAATCCCTATGCCCGGCCCGTTTGATATTTCTTCCGTAGGGTGAGAACACACCTGCTTTGGTTTCAAACTGGATGATTAGTAGAAAAAGTTTGAGTGCCGTGAGTTAGGTTGTTGGGTAGGTGAAATTGCTTCGCACGCTCATACACACTCACTTTAGTATTACTTTAATTAAAGGACTGTTTTAGAATGAGTCAATGAGAGTTGTATAAAAAAATATATTTAATTAAAAAAAAATTGTACAAATTAAATTAAAATAAAATTTGAATTGAAACCTTTTAAATTTATATTGGTAAAAAGCAATTTAATAATAACAATTAAATTTTTAATTTTTTAATTTTTTAAAGATCTGTAATTTTAAAAAAAGTTTATTTTAATTTCCATAGAACTTTCTTTTTAAATATAAATAAAATTTTCTACCACTCTTCTAAGATAGTTTTAAATTAAATTTTGTGAAATAATATTAAGGGAGAATGGTCAGTTTAGATTTTTAGTCCCTCAATTATGCTATAATGGTAAACTCAATCCTTAATTATAAATGTGACTCCATTTAGTTTCTGAATTGTTTGTTCAGTAATCATTTTAGTCCCTCACCTCAAATTTATGTTAAAATTAAAGGTGATGAGAGGGTAAATTTGGAGATTTATTAACTTTCCCTCAAAACACAAATCAAATAAGTTTTAAAGTTTGTAACCATTTCTTGTATGTAATATATACTCCGTATTATTTTTCTTCTTTTTCTTTTTCTCTTAAATTCATGTAAATAATGCTTAACCAACAATACATTTGTACTAACTGGGATGTTGTTATGTTCTCACATCACGGGTAAGAAAACATAAGGAAAAATGAATAGAGAATAACTGTTGGAAAAGAAAGAGAAGAAGACACTGAGTTTGCTTGAGACCTAAAACTCCCTTAGACGCTTTTTTGGAATTAAATTTCTCCATCCATTATTCTAATAATACTCCTTTTAATTTTTATATGGTAAAATACAACTCATAGAATGCTAAATAAGCTAAGTAATCTGCTAAGATCTTCCAATTTACTTCTAAATAATTAAACTACCTAAATTAATTTGAAGACTAATTAGTTTAATAAGTTAAATAACTCTTTAGTAATTTCTAATAACTATTTATTAGTTTCTAAATAATTATTTAGTAATTATATAGTAATTTATTAATATCTAAACTATGTAATATAATAAAATAAGACTTCCTAAAAATTATGGTTCCAAGCATGTATCACATGTACACATTTATTTGAAAGGAATCAAAATCAGCTTTTAACTTAAAAATATTGCCTCTTTTTTTTTTTTTTTTTTTTTTCCCACTTCGTTATTGGCCTTTTCTTAGCTTCCCTTAAAAAAGTGAAGCAAGCTTGTGTTTATACTTTATAGTTATTATACTCCGTATTTATTTATGAATTGCATGTGGTCAACATTAATATTGATTTTTCATAAATTTTCTTCTTTAATTGTTTAGGCTCGGCCAATAGTGGAGAAAGATGAGGTATTTGGCTTTAAAGAAGATATGAAAACGATAAAAGATCGTCTCATTAGAGCATCCAATAATTTTATGGTCATCCCAGTTGTTGGGATGGCCGGGACTGGAAAAACTACATTTGCCACAAAGATTTTTGAAGACTCGGACATTCTCAATAAGTTTGCCCTTTGCATTTGGCTTCATGTTTCACAAGGCTTTAATAGAAAACAAAAATTCATTGACATCATACATCGAATTAAAAAGTCTACGGAAGACTATAGCTCGGCATCCGATGATCATTTGGCAGAAGAAATATTGAATCTTTTAAAGAAACAAAAGTACTTTATTGTATTAGATGATGTATGGGAAGAAAAGGATTGGAATTCTTTAAAAGTTGCATTTCCTGAAAACCTGAATGGAAGTAGAGTCTTGGTGACCACCCGACGTGGTAGTGTGATTGATTCTAAATGGGAACCTCATAGTTTAAATAAGCTAGATGCTGGTGAAAGTTGGTCACTACTGAAAAAGAATGTTTTTGGTGAAAAGGAATGCAGTGAGTCATTTGAAATACATGGGAGAAAGATAGCAGAAAACTGCAAGGGATTACCACTTGCTCTAAGAGTGATAGCTGGTATCCTGTGTAAGAATAGAACTATTACTGATTGGGAACGAGTAGCTGCAAATCCCTTTCTAGAAATTAATCGGGAAGGCCAAAGCTACCATGAGCTAGTATTGTTGAGTTATGAACAACTGCCTCATGAGAAGTTAAAAAATTGCTTCTTGTATTTTGCATCATTTCCCATGGGATATGAGATTGCTGTTTGGAAGCTGATTCGTTTGTGGATTGCGGAAGAATTCATTCCAACAATAGATGAGTGGGGATACCATTTAGACATGGAAATTGAAGCTCATAAATATTTGAATGATCTTGTTGATAGGAATCTTGTAATGGTGATGAGTAGGAGAGTGAATGGTCAAATCAAAACATGCCGCATTCATGACTCACTGCACGAGTTCTGCAAAAGCGAGGCTACAAGGAAAAATCTATTTCGCGTAATGGATGAAGGACAAAGATTAGATACAAATGCTACTTCATCTCGCCGTCTTTGTTTCTACTCCTCTATTACCAAAATATTAGATGTAGAAAATAATCCATCTTATTCATTCTTCATCAGTTGCTACAACAAAAAGAGGGGGACATGTCCATCTGCTGAGCATGTCCATACTTTGTTGTTGTCTCCATTACAGAAGGGTGAGATTCAGTTGACACAGCAGTTGTTGACAGCTATCCCGATCACCTTTCCACTTCTTAGGGTGTTAGATATTGAATCCCTCAAATTTGAGTCAATACCAGATGAGATATATGACTTATATCTTCTCAGGTATCTTGCTATTACAGCCGACCTTGATCTCCTTCCCAGGCAATTTAGAAAGCTCCGTGAGTTGGAGACTATTGTATTCAGAACCAAACAACATGCACTAAAAATTGCTGGAGGCATATGGAACATGGAAAAGCTAAGGCATGTGCATACCAACACATCAGCTCAATTACCTCATCTTCTTGAAAAAAGAAAAAATGGTTTCGGAAGTACAAACATTCGTACGCTTTCTACCATATCACCAGCATGTTGTAGGGAAGAGATCATCAGCAAGACTCCCAAGCTCCAAAAATTGGGCATTCGTGGGAATTTAGAAGAGCTTCTTGAAAGAAAGGAAGGAACTTGTTTGTTCAACAATCTTCAAACGCTAGATTGCCTTGAAAACTTGAAGCTCTATGGCGTGTGTGACAAAGAGCTAAAGGTTCCAATGCGGGATAAGTTTCCAGGGAGGCTTAGAACATTGACCTTATCCAACACATTCTTTCACTGGGATGACATGAGTATATTGGGATCGCTGGAGAAGCTTGAGGTGCTCAAGTTGGATGAAAGTGCTTTCAAGGGGGAGATTTGGGATTTAAAGAGCAATGTTGTTTTCCAACAGCTTCGTTATTTGCGCATTGTAAAGACGAAGCTGGAAACTTGGATAGCTTCAGAGCATAGCTTTCCAGTTTTAGAGACTCTAGTCATCAGAAACTGTCTCTTCCTAGAAAGAATCCCAAACGCTTTTGCTGAGGTAAAGAACTTTAAAGTGATGGAGTTGTATCATGTGAGTGAAAAGGCAACTAAATCTGCAGAAGAGATACATCAGAAAAGGCAAAAAATGATACAAAAGGTACTTCTTATAAAATATTATTTATTTTAATGATGATAATAATTATTACTTATATTAAAATTTATAATAGTTATAAAGATTAACCTTAACTATAGTAAAAATATGTAAATAAATACTCCGTAATTTTTAACATATAATTTATTATAATAAAAATAAATACATAAATATTTAAATATAATAATTCTAAACTAAAGAATTTTTTTAACTTTTCAAAATTTTTGGGCTATGGAACGGCAAACAAAGTTTTTTTTTTTTTTTTTTTGTTTTTTTGTTTTTTTTGGGCTTGCCCATCATATATTTAATCAGGCAATAATAAATGTTACTCAATCTATCTCATTTTATGAGATAGTTATGCTGTGCATCCGTATGTACCATGCATGGTGCATACAGATGTAAAAACGATGTCGTTTTATTAAAAACGCGCGTCTCTCCTTAAAAAAAAAATTCAGGTTCGATTCTCAGCAACAACATTATGTTGTTTATTCATTTTGGAATTTTAGTTAATAGATTATGGAATTTTAGTTCATTGATTATGGAATTATAGTTCATCGATTCTGGAATTGTAGTTCATCGATTCTGAAATTTTAGTTCATAGATTCTGGAATTTTAGTTCATTCATTCTGGAATTTTTAGTTCATAGATTAGATTCTTGAATTTTAGTTCATAGATTCTGGAATTATAGTTCATCGATTCTGGAATTATAGTTCATCGATTCTGAAATTTTAGTTCATATATTGTTGCTGGGAATCGAACCTGTTTTTTTTTAAGGGGAGACACGCGTTTTTAATAAAACGACGTCGTTTTTGCATCCGTATGCACCATGCATGATGCATACGGATGCACATCCGCCCATTTTATGTGGCTGGTTCAGTTAACGTGATTTGAATGGATTTATATTTTCTACAATTTTTCATAATGTTGAGTTTAATATTATTATATAAAATTTATATATTTAGAAATTACATTAAAAGTACCATTAAACACAAAAAATTTAAATTTAAAAATAATTTAAAAATACTAAAGAAAATAAGCAAAGAAGAATGAGTTGGTTTAACTAAGGAATAGTAAACATGACAAATAAAATGGGACAGAGGGGGTATTTTTTTTTGAATGCTACTAGCTCTATTACAATGTAGTATCTGTTCATATACTTTCTCAATACTTTCTCAAAGAGCCAATAACGCCTCCACTGAGCCTTAAACTCACAACCTTCCAAATGGAAGTCCAACCCGGGTACCATTAGACCATATAGTCCTGGTGAGGGGGTATGATAACTCTAAAGTCTAAACTAAAAAAATAATTAAAGAAAAAATACTTGATTTTTTATGGGTTGTGAGTTGATCTAAGATTTTTATTATTTGGCTAACCTAACTCATATTTTAATCAAGAATTGATAAATGTAATAACTTTGACCTAAAGAAAATGAATAAAAAATAATTTTTTTAAAAATCTTTTGGGCTATTGGTTGGGCTAAGTCAGACTAAGATTTTTATTGTTTAGCTTGACCAACCTTACTCATATTTTAATTGAGTTAGCTCAGCTCAATTAAATAATAATTAGACAAATGATAGGTCAACCTACTCATTTGACACCACACAAAAAGAGAAAGTAAGAAAGAACTGAGTTTGAGAAGGGGATTTGAAAAATGTCCTTCGAGTAAAAATTTAGTAAGACATTTTTTGACAAAAATAGATCAACCAAAATGAGTATTATTATCTATTTTTCTTTTGTTGACTTAAATTTTTTATTGATAACCAAACACTAGAAAGTTCAAAAGATGACTTCTGCAAGTAATTTTTGTGGGTATTATATATGTTTCGGGATTTTTTGAATTTTACTATAGAAGTAGAGCTGTCAATGTAAGCTAGTAGGGTGGGGCTTGCCGGCTTGCCAAAGCCCACCTTGCGGTGGGACAGACCTAGAAAACCTCAATCCACCCCACCATTGCCCATCGGTAATTTAAAAAATGAAATAAGAAATAATTGCACTTTTTATTTTTAAGTTATAGAATAAGTTTAAATTTAGTCCCAAATCATGAGTTGCAATAATTAGTAGTTAGGTAAACAGTAAAAATCCCCTTTGATTTAATTGTAGCAATAGAAAAAATTGACTTTATTTCTGCTCTTTCAGTATTATTTGTTAAAATATATTATCTTTCTCTTCCAACAGGTTGATCAGCAAAGTCATGGCAAGGAAAATGTCAAAACCAGTGGATTTGAGCTCTTCATAACCGCTCTTCCATCACAAGCAACAGTAATTGTCTTTCTTCTCTCATTTACTATTTTGATATATAGGATCTTCTAGAACAATATTATTTCTAAAATTTTTGAAATCAAGACTTATATAGAAACCAATACAAAGGAAGTAAAGACCATGCCAATTCAGAATTCTTTTTAAATGCCTTTATAACATGATGTTTTATGATGTGCTAAATTTTCTTTGGTCTTTGGTTTAAATCTTAAGATTGCAATTATCTTAAAACTCATAAAATGAGTGTTTTGTCACTCTTGAGGTTAATAAATGTGTTAATTGTGAATCATGAACACTACTTAGGTAAACCATAAAATTCCGTTTTGATTTAACAGTTGGTATTGTGAGACCATCTCACATGAGATAGATTTTAAATATTTATTTATTTTTTACTAAAAATGTAATACTATTTTATGAATCAACATGCATTTATATTTTCACTAATATTTTTGGTATTACATTTTCACTAATACTACTTTTCAAGTAAAAAATAATACTATGTACTTTTTAGAGAAAATATAATATTTATTTATCCATAAAGAAACATTTTATTTTCACAAAAAAGTATTACATATTTGAGATATGTGTCATAAAAATACTTGTGTGGATCAAATTGAACTATTGAAGTGGTAGAAGAAGCTAAGAATAGGACTTGAAATGTGCTCTTTTAGTATTATTATATTCTATCAAAATATGCTCCTTTAGTATTATATTCTATTCTATCAAAATATATTTTCTCTTCCAATAGGTGCATAAGCAAACGGGTGACAAGGAAAATATTGGATTCGACTTCCCTAGCTCCTCTCTCTCATCACAGGAAATAGTAAGTATTTTATTTTTAAATTATCTCTTCGGCTCTCCTATGTGATTTGCTTTCTATTACACGAGCGATGTTTATCCATTACACACTCTTGAGTAATAGTTGTGTATTTCTTTCGTCATAAAAGAAGGAAATAATATCTTTTTTTTTTAAATTATATTTTGTCTCAAAATTACTAACCATCTAATCTTTTAATAAGTTTCAAGTAGGAAAATTACATGATTATTAGGACAAATTTAGTGTTTAAAAAAATTATTTTGAAAAGGTTTCTATATTTAAGAAGGTTCTTCCTAATTGATGTTAATTAATATTAAATAGAATTATTGTAAATTTAATAATTGACTTATAGTAAAGTGGATAAAATTCTAAACTATTACTCAAATAATGATCAAGGTTTGATTTTTGTTAATATACATTTTGAGAATCATATTTAATGAAGAATATGACATGGCATGTTGACTACAACATGACAAAATATGTAATGTGACAATGAGTACATGACTTTGGAAAATAAGATTAAAACTACACTAGTTTGAAAAATAAAAGGGAAAATTGTAAAAAATGCCCCTCTATAATATGCCAATTATCAATGTCACCTCTGAATTATGAGTAGTGTAAATATTGCCCCTCAATTATCAAAATGGTGCACATATATCCCCTCTCGTAACGGACATGTGGTTCTCTGTTAGTGTACGACACCGTTAAGTCGGAGTAAATATGTAATTTAGTTATTTTTCCCTCCCTCGATTCGAAATACCAGAGATGGATAGCGGTGGGGAACTACAAATCCGTTACGGGAGGGGCTATATGTGCACCATTTTGATAATTGAGGGGCAACATTTACACTACTCATAATTCAGGGGTGACATTGATAATTGGCATGTTATAGAGGGACATTTTTTACAATTTTTCCAAAATAAAATTTTAAAGTACCCTAATTTGAAAAAACCTTGGTTATCCTTAATTTATTAGACTTGTACAATTATCACTGTTTCATGCTCTTATTTTTTATGATTTTACAATTGTTAAAGGCTTCAACGGTGGATGAATTTGTTGTGGGGCTTGATGGTGAGGTGCAAACTATAATGGGTCGCATTATTGAAGGGTCAAAGAATTTGAAAGTCATTTCAATTGTGGGAATGATGGGGCTTGGTAAAACCACATTAAGCAAAATATTGTTGAATGATTATCAGCTCCAATATGAGTTCTTTACTCGCTTTTTGATTGATGTTTCGAGCAAAAATGATACAAAAGAAATATTTTGTGAGATTTTGAAGATCTTAACAAATGAAGAAAATGAGTATGACAAGAAGCTGGGTGAGGTTCAATTAGTGGATAAAATAAAAGAACTTTTGGAGGGCAAAAAGTATTTCATTGTAATAGATGGTGTACGGACAATGCAAGAATGGGATAGTTTGAAGGATGCTTTTCCCAACAATATGAGAGGTAGTAAAGTCTTGATAACCACTCGAAACCATGAAGTGGCTTTTTGTGCGGATTCTGCTTGTAACCCTCATCAACTAAAATTTTTGACAAGTGATGAAATTTGGGAGTTACTAGCGAAGAAAGTTTTTGGGAAGGAAATATGTACTGATGAGTCATTGGAAACTCTTGGTAGGCGCATAGCTACAAAATGCAATGGAATACCACTTGTAGCGGAGGCGATAGCAAATGAACTATGTAAAAATAGGACGACGCCCGACAGGTGGAAACATCTTGCAGATGATCCCTTTGCAGTTATTGATCACATGAACCAAGAGTGCAACCCCCTCATACAATTGGTGTATGATAAAATGAATTTCCAGTTGAAAAATTGTTTCCTGTACCTTGCAGCTTTTCCTATTGGATATGAGATTGTTGCTAGAAAACTTATTCATTTGTGGATAGCCGAAGGATTCATTCAGCTAATGGATGGTGAAACCAGCCTAAACTTGGAGGGTACAGCTGAGGAATATTTAAAGGACCTCATTGCTTGGAAACTGTTAACTGTGTCAGAAAGAAGTGCAGATGGTCAAACAAAAAAATGCCGCATTCGTAAAGTGTTGCATGAGTTTTGTAAAACTGAAGCTGGCAAAAAGAATATTTTTCACACAATGGATACAAATGCAGTCGAGGCAAACAAGTATATTCCCCGTCGCCTAAGTGTTCATTCCTCTGCTTTGGACTTCCAGGAACTGGGACGTAAGGTATCTATTCAGCATGTTTGCTCTTTCATATCTTCTTGCTCCGGAGAAGGGGAGGTCTTGAATGAGCCTGGCTTGGTAGCCATTGCAAAATCATTTCCTCTTCTTAGGGTAATGGATGTTGAATCCCTCAAGTTCAAATCATTGCCTAAAGAACTGAGTTTCCTTTATTATCTGAAGTACCTTGCAGTATCAACTGATGAACTGAAATTCCCACCTAAGCTTTTCAATAATCTTTGGGACATGCAGACTCTTGTGTTAAACTCTTCACAAAGTAGTCTTGAAATGGGGGTGGAAATATGGAGCATGTCTAAACTAAGGCATGTGTACAGCAACACTCCCATGCAACTGTCTCCTCCTCCTAGTACATTTAGGAAGAAAGGCTCCGGATGTATGGACTTACGGACACTTTCTACCATATCACCTTCAAGCTGTACTGAGGAAATTTTTGAGATGACTCCAAATCTTCAAAAGTTGGGAATTCGGGGGAACTTAGTTGAGCTTATGGCGAGTGATGGAGGAATTAGATTGTTTTACAATCTTCATAAGCTCTCTCTCCTCGAAAATTTGAAGTTGCTAAACAGTGCCAATGACAGCATTCCCCAGCACAAATTTCCAAACAGGCTGAGAAAGTTGTCTTTGTCAAACACATCATTTGGGTGGAAAGACATGTGTATATTGGGGGCTTTGGATGAGTTGGAAGTTCTCAAGCTGAAGGATAATGCATTCAGGGGGAAGTCTTGGGAACTCGACAACAACATTGTTTTCAAACAACTCCAATTCTTGCGCATTGACAAGGCTGATTTAGAATCTTGGAACACTTCCAAGAGTTGCTTTCCGGTTCTGAAAACGCTCATCATCAAACATTGCTTATCTCTCAAAGCAGTCCCGTTCGAATTTGCTGATGTAGATAGCCTTAAGCTCTTAGATTTATATTGCACAACTGAAATGGCTGCAAATTCAGCCAGGATGATAAAAGAGAGAAAGCGAATACATGACAATGGATTTAAGCTCTCCATCTATCCTGAGCATTATTGATATCAAACTTGCGTGGTTAGTCAAGTCCTCTAATTACTTATGTTTACTTTTTCAAAAAGTGAAAATAGTGGAGAAAAAGAAAAAAATAATAATGCCAACACTCCCTTGCTTTAAGTAATCATTATTTCTTTCAAGTGATTTTAACACAGTTTTACATTTTTTATTCAGGTGTGCGGTTTTCAACTATCAAGTGTTGTTATTAATTGTTATGATACGCTTAGATATGCAGTTCAATTTGCAACTATTGAGTGGCAAGCATTCATGTTGAACTGTGTTGGCTATTTCATATTGTACGTAGTGAGACTGTTTCTATTTCCAATTACTTCCAGAGTTATAGACAATTGTCATTACTTAGGCTGTGACTTTCATAATTTCATTTGGCAAGTTGGCTTGTTAGCTGAACTGTCTAGGGGTGCTTTCTTGAAATGTGAAAAAAAAAAAAATCATGCATGGGACGCAATTTGTAAAAAAGGTATTGTTACTGTTTTTCTAATATTTTTATTAGGCTTTGAATTTCTTTAATTTGAAGACTATTTCATCTCATATTTGGCCTAGCTTCTCATTAAAATTCATATTTGGATCAATTGAAGAGGTAGGATTGATGACATTGAATTTGCCAAATCAATTGATCCAACTGTGGAGTATGATGGTGTATTAGGTAGTTATAGATGTAGGGCAAAACACTGACAATGAAGTTCAATATTATTATTAATTTTACTTTCTCTTGGCAAAGCAGTGAAGAAATGAACTTTTAATTAGCCTTCTAGGTGTTAAGTCTTTTCTTTTTTGCTGATTTGTTGTTTTCGTTGTGCATTTTTTTAATGGTCGCCTCTAGCTCTCGTTCTTTGGAGGAGTTATGACTTATGATGTTGTGGTGCTTGGAGAAGAGGAGGGTACATGCAATGCTACATGGGAAGATCACAAGTTAACTTTAGTGGGTAGACAATTGACAGAAAATCCCATTTAAATTCCATATCATGAAGGATACTCTGGTTGCAGTGTGGAGACCTACACGTGCACCATTGTGGACCCTAAATAAAAATGTTGAGGTACATAATTCATACTTAGAAAGTACATAATTTTACAACACAAGACACATACAAATGTTATATATTTACTTATTTTTCAAATCTAATTTAGGTACAAAATTTGACTTAATAGGCACAGAATTTCACAACACAAGACACGTAAATTCATAACATAAGACACAACTACTAATTTGTTTCAAGTACATAATTCATACTCTTAAGGTACAGAATTTCATAACACAAAACACAGAAACTCAAAATATAAAACACATACACATGCACCATTGTGGACCCTGAATCAAAACGATGAGGTACATAATTCATACTCAGAAGGTACATAATTTCATAACACAAGACATATACACATGTTATATATTTACTTATTTTCAAATCTAATTTAGGTACAAAATTTAAGTTCATAGATACAAAATTTTATAACACAAGACACAATTAGTAATTTGTTTTAGGTACAAAATTCATATTCTTAAAATGCATAATTTTTTCACACAAGACATAATAACTCACAACATAAAATACATAGACATGCATTAGAGTCCACAATGCACTGTGAACCTTGATCCATGATATAAGCATTGATTTTCTATGGACTATAAACAAATTGTAAATCTTTAATATATTAAATGTTTATTATTAAAATTTTGCTTATATAGCATAATAAATTGAAATATGGTTTGGGGTCCTCAGAATGTAGTCTTTACAGTGTGGCTAGACCGTGGCTTGAGTGGTTTCCACGATAGGAATAGGAAGCATGGCTGGAGTATTACATTTGCAGTTACGGTGTGGTGGCTTTGGAGGTGATTCAATACTATCAAACTTATAGTAGTGTTCTAAAAACCTATCAACCAAACAATACTAATCTTTAATACCCATTCTTTATAACTAAGCTTGTCAACCAAACGCACCCTATATTTTCATGGACTCGATTCAATTCAACTAATGTCATGGATAAAGATAGGTGTGAAATTGTTCGTATGAGCAGCTCAACTGATTATAGATGTGAAAGTTGAAAAGATTGACCAGGAGCTCTTTGTGCACAGTAAACAAAAATCTAACATCTGTTGTTCATGATCAGTTGAGTTATCAAATATTCAATGGGGTCAGGTTAGGGTTCAACCTTTTGGAAAGAAAGATAGTTGAGATATTCTTTCACAAGTCACAAGTGTGACACTAGATTCTTAATGGTACCGCAATTCACGTTCTTCTCGCCTTTAGCCTAGCCTTGTCTCTCTCTCTCTCTCTCCAAATTCACGCGCCACAGCACCTCTACTGCCAATGCCACCCACCGACCCACGTATCGAAACATGAAATTTCATATATGCCCTTGACTTTAACACCAACAATGGAAATAAAACATTAAAACGTAAATTCTAGTAGAGGACTTATAAGTAATTTTCAAACTCAAGAAAATTTTAAAAGTCAACATGGTCAAGATATATTTGTAAGAAGTATAATTTTAAATGTAAGGAAATTATATTTTAGGAAATGTGCACACATTATTTATTTAGTTGACGTTGACTAAGAAATATATATAATTTTAAATACAAGGAAATTATACCTGTTCTTGGCCATTGCCATTCTCCCTCCTCAGACTCAGAGATGGCTGATCCGGTGACTACCATTTCGGGCATTGTGGTAGCAGCAAGTTCTGGAGTAAGTATTGCGAAAGTTCTTATCAAAAATTTAAAAAAGCTGAAGCAAGGGAACAGAAGGAAACTAAGTGCAGAAGGAGCAAAAGCACTTGAAGAAATTAGGTTAACCCCCATCCTTTAATTTGTCCACACTCAATAGCTCAACAGACAATGTCAAATGCCATTGCGCACAAAGAGATTTGTCCACTTTGGATATAATTCTCACACTGTCACCGGCGAGATTCGAATTTTTTCTCTGATCTCAAATATTGTCTACTGAATATTAATGAGCTAAGCAGATCTATGATTTTCTTGATGCAATGCATGCACACATTAATATAATGTTTCCAATATATACATACTAACCTCTTTGTGTAAACGCGGGAAACAAAAGTTCCAAGATTGGAGAATCATTTCCAGTGTTTGATGGGAGTGACTATGAGATATGGAGCAAAATGATGAGGGCTTTGCTTACAGTCCATAATCTCTGGGACTTGGTGGAAAACGGGTACGAAGAGATAGGACGCAATGCTAAGGCTTTAAAAGAAGATCGGCAGTGGGACTCCATGGTTTTGTTCATTATCCTGCAATCAGTTCACAAATCAGTTCGTCGCTGCACTGTTCATGCAAACACCTCAAAAGACGCTTGGGATGCAATTGAAAATCAAGGTATAGCAATTAAATTTATTATCAACTTTATTTCACTTTTGGTTTCTTGGTTACAGGTAGGATATTATTTTTACTATTTATATATACTCTATTTGAATTTTATTTGTTTATTTAATTAGTCACCAATGCAAGTTTTTTTTTTTTTTTTTACTCCAAAATATAATCAAATTTAGGAATTAAAAGTAAAAGTGTCATGGTAATCACAAGTAAAATAAACTATTCAAAATTTAATACCCTTTTATAAATTTACAAAATATAATACAAATATGTGATAAATATATATGTTCCTTAACATATATAAAAGTAATGTGATATATATATGTGTGTGTTTATTTTCAAATGTGAACCTCTGATCTGCTATCATGTGAATTTGTGTACGTATTTGCACCGTTGACTTTGGATGATGTAATGGGATTTTTCCCCTTGTTTTCTTTCGGTCTGGATTTGGGGTTTGGGGGTATTATCGCATTTTCTGTTTTTATTTCCTTTCATTATGTTGATCTATACGGTATTTCCCTTGATTTGTGGCCCTTTTCCTGGTTGTTTAATTTGTTTGTTTTTCGTTTCTCGTTTGCAAAAGCTCTCTCGACTTCCAGGTGTGCATGGTGGTATCGTCGTTCGTGCCTTCCGTGGTTCTCATGTATTCAGGTATGTTTTTGTTTGTGGTTTTGGTTCTGCTGCGTGTTTTAGGTGTGTAGGGTTTTGTTTTTTCTTTGCATTGGCCATGGGTTGTTGGTCTATGATGATTAGGGTGTTGTGTTTTTTAGTGCAGCCCGGAAGCCCGCAGTGGCTGTGGTTTGCTTTTGGGTGTTGGCATTGTGAGCATATAACCATTAATGTGCAATCCAACTATCAACTTAAGTTAGTTGGGATGGAGCACATGTTTCAATTTGGTATCAGAGTCAGACCAAAGGTCATGGGCACACATGCTTCAATTGGCATTACTTGTGGCTATGTTTTGCTTTTGGTAGCTAGCCATATATGTTGGTTGGTTAAATGGGTATCTCCTTGTGCAGCTCCCAATAGTAGCAAAAAACAATGACAGTGGCAACCGTCTAAGAGATGCTCGTGAGGAGGGGATTGATGTGAGCATGGAACCCAAGCAACAATACCAGACTTGTAAGCAGTTAGTAAGGCCGCATGATAGCCTTAACTAACCAGGCCATCGCTACAGTAGTTTGCCTAATTCATATGTTCTTAGTGTTTTTCTTATTTTTATGTAATAACGTAGTGGTGGGACTAATTACTGGCCTTGTTTGGGGGGATAGATTAACGTCTGAATCCGCTTTCAATATTTTAACTTTTTTATCACTATTAGTTGTTTGATTTGGTTAATACGGTGTCATTAGACCACAAGGTCTTGATAATATGAATATTTGATTAATTAGTTTTTTTTTTGTAATAATTTTTTCTCCAAAATGCTAAAATTTAAAAAGCTATTTTTTTTTTTGAGAAAATCATTTGTATGTAATCAGCTAATAATTAACAACTAATTTATCAAATATTTTTCTACAACCAGCTAATACTATCAACTAGTTAAATCCACTAATTAACCAAATCAGTTAACAGTCATTTACCAAACACCCTATTTTGTGTCATTATCCAACAATTCATTACTTATGAAGTTATGAGTAAAATAGTACCTCACTACCCTTCTTGGGCGTTTTCTTCACAACACCCTACGGCCACGGTTGTGCCTGCTCTAAAACACCTAGGTTTAGGAATACCAACAACTTCAATTACAACTCATAACTGGGATCCTAACGGGAACGGTGCAACCCGGTGACGGCACGACACGGTGCACTCTAGAACTAGTGAAAAACAGATAACGAAATTGCACCGTGCCTTCGTCACCCGCATTAGTCTAACCAGCGGTAGTGTGGGAGCTACCTCTCAAAGTGAGGGGGAGTTCCTTGTGCGCAGTGAACAAAGGTCTAGCCTCTGTGGTTCATGTTCAGTTGAGTTACCATGATTTACATCCTCACAAATGCTCTGTCTGGTCAGAGTGTGGGGCCCCTTAAAATTGGGGTTCAACCTTTTGAAAGAATGTTGTAACACCTTCAAATTTTTTTTTCTCCAAAATGTTACTTAAATATCTTTAAAATTAAAAAATTTACTATAAATGAAATTACTAAAAATAGAATTATTTATAAATAGAACAACAATTCATGTCTTAAACAATAATCCCATCAACATTTTTCCTTATAAGTAACAAAAATTTTATTCTTAATTAATATTGCATTTGTTTGTATAAATATTACATTTTTATATTATCTCGATTCAACTCGATTGATCCTCAAATAAAGGGATGTTCTCACAACTCACTAGTGTGACCCTAGATTCTTAATGGTACCACAATGGCAATAAAACGTAAGTTCTAGTAGAGGATTAAAGTAAATAAAATATCCAAGGAAACTAAAATAAGTAATTCTTAAACTCACAAGAGAATTTTAAAAGTCAACATGGTCAAGATGAGGGGACACCGAAGAATTACATAGACGCAGTTGTCGTTGTCGTTGACGTTGACGTTGAGTCGTTGCCGTTGACTAAGAAATATAATTTTAAATATAATGTAAGTAAATCATATCTATCGTCCCTGGCCTTTCTCCCTCCTCAAACTCAGACATGGTGGATCCGGTGACTATTATCTCCATCATTTCCGGCCTTGTGGCAGCATCGAATTCTGGAGCAAGTATGGCGAAAGTTTTTATCGAAATTTTAGAAAAGAAAGGGAGTCGAAGGAAACTAAATACAGAAGCTTCGAATGCACTTGCAGGAATTAGGTTAACCCCCATCCTTTAATTTATCGTCATTAATTCAGAAATTGGAGATCAAATCTGTGATAGATTTTCTTTAGGCAATGCACTGCACACATTAATATAATATAATATAATGTTTCCAATATATATATATACATACTAACCTGTTTGTGTAAACAAAAGTTCCATGATTGGCAAATCAATTCCAGTGTTTGACGGGAGTGACTATGAGATATGGAGCAAAATGATGAAGGCTTTGCTTATATCCCATAATCTCTGGGACTTGGTGGAAGAAGGGTACAAAGAGAAAGGGCGCAGGGCTAAGGCTTTAAAAAAAGATCGGGAAATGGATTCCCTGGCTTTGCTCATTATCCTGCAAGCAGTTAACAAATCAGTTCGTCGCTGCACCATTCATGCAAACACCTCAAAAGACGCCTGGGATGCAATACAAAACAAATTTCAAGGTATATATATTAAATTTAATATCAACTTTATTTCACTTCTGGTTTCTTGGTTACAGACTTACCGGTAGGATATTTTTACTATTTATATATACTCTACTTGACTTTGATTTGTTTACTTAATTAGTCACCGATGCAAGTGTTTTTAAAGAATATAATGTCTGTTCTATCCCAGTCAAGATCCCATTTTCTAAATGACATGAAAAAAAAAAATACTTCGTAATTATTTTAACAAGTTTGCTAATGGCAGCTTTTGCTATCATTTGACAGCAAAAGAATATTACAGGAATGTAAAGAGAATAGTGAAAAAATTGATGATGTGGGAGTTAGACCCATTTTTAAAAGTGAGAGAGTATTGCAAGGAAAAGGATAACCTTTTTTTTTTTGAATGCTACTAACACAAAGAGCCAATATACTTTCTCAACCTACTTAAACACAAAGAGCCAATAACGCCTCCACTAAGGCGAGAACTCACAATCTTCCAAATGAAAGTCCAACCCGGATACCATTAGACTACATAGTTCTGGTGGAAAAGGATAACCTTAATTAGTCACTAATGCAAGTTTTTTTAAAAAAAAAAAAAATATAATATTTCTTCTATTTTTACTCCAAAATATAATCAAATTTAGGAATTAAAAGTAGAAGTGTCATGGTAATCACAAGTAAAATAAACTATTCAAAATTTAATACCCTTTAATAAATTTATATTACAAAATATAATACACATATATGTTCCTTAACATATATACAGTAATGTGATATATATATATATATATATATATATATATATATATATATATATATATATATATATATAATCTAAAAACATAATAAGCCTCAATGAAAGTTATATCCTTGATTTATGTCCCTCTCTTTGTATGCAAATAAATGTGTACCTTTTACTTTAAATGTTGTACATTCCAATGTTATTAGACAAAATTACCCTTACACCGTTATAACACCGTTAGTTTTTAATTCTAACTTTAATAACACATCATTATTACCATACACCTATATCTATCATATCTTTTTCCTATTTTTAATTATCATTTTATTAAAATCATTATATATTAATTTAATACTTAATTATATTTTAATTAAATTTCTATGAATGATAAATTATATATGTGTGTCTATAAAATACATATATTATTTGTATATATATAATTCAAATTATAATTTTTAATTATTTCTACTTATCAATGTTTTAATATTGGGCATGAATTTTCGCGCATCGCGCGTCCACAATGCTAGTGTGTATATATATATATATATATATATATATATATATATATATAGTTATTTATTTATTTATTTATTTATTTATGGCTTTTCAGGTGTGAACTTGTGAATAAATATGGTCTGTCCATCTAAAGATGATCAAAGGCTAAAAATCATTGAAAATGACAAAACATACTATATTGTTTTATTTTGTAATTATATTGGTGCATTAAAAAATGCTTAATAATGCATTTGGAAATGCTTTGAGTGCATAGAAGACGCTATCTAATTATCATCACCTTCCTCCCTTCATGTCACCACAAGAATTTCTAGCTAAATGCACCATTGTAATGCATGATCTCACATGAATGCAAGTGCATATATATATATATATATATATATATATATATATATATATATATATATATATATATATATATGTATATATATATATATGGGTATTTCCTTTTCCCACTAAGACTTGCGTAAAAAATCTACTTATCTCATCTGTACTGAAATTAAAATATCACAGATCAGAGAATTCCATCTTTTAGCATTAAGCTGTTGCTAGCTAGCTAGTTTATGTTTAGGTTGTTGTGGAGTGGTCATTTCAACACTAATTGAATTGTACATTTCTGTTGGTGATGCAGACAACAGCTGGAAATCATATTTAAGAGACTTTATTGTGGGTGTAGTTGGTGTCGGTATATTAATGGTAGCTGCAATGGGAATTATAGGTTTCTTCGTTGCAATCTTCTTGAAGCACAAACTTATTACCCTACACAGACAACAGGTAATATACTACCTGATTGTTTGTGTTTCAATAATATTAGCCATTGGAATTATACTGTGGTGACTCTACCGTTTGCTTAATTGTGTGCTATGCTTTTTCTTCTTCTTTTCTCAAATACTGCTTATTGAATCAGTGAGTTAAACCCTTGCAGACATTCTATGCTTTTTTTGTTTGTGAGATTGGTGTAGTATTATGAGAGGAACAAAGATTTTGAATTGAATTAGATTGGAGTTTTATGAGTTAGTTTGAAAAATGGAGATTGTTTGTATTGTATTTGGGTAATATATTATTGGGTGTGTTGGATATTTTCTAATTGTGCTTTTATTTGCACAAATAATTAACAAGACTATTTGTATTTTATATTTGGTATTATAGTTTGTTGAGAAAATTGGTTTAAAATGGCATCTAAAGTGATTATTTTGAGGTATACTTTAATTTTTAGAATGTTTACTCCCAATTTTGGGTGTGTCAAAATTGATTCAGGTTCTCATAATGAAGATATATAGTGAGGTTACTATCACGACCGGGACGAGGAGGATTCTCTCTAAAATAAAGAGCAATTCTTTCCTTCTTCTTTTCTTGTTAATTAAGGGAAGTTTCCCGCCTCACCATAGCCGTTAACGGCGAGTTGGGGTGGGCGGCTGCCATGGAAACGCTGGCTGAGGCCTCCCCGCCTCCGCCGGAGGAACACATGGCCGACGTAGATTTGGCACAGCATGTTAACAAAAGAACTAAGTCAGCGAAGAGAACCTTCGCAGACGCAGTGGCTCCGCAGCTTCTCTCTGGTGGTAGTGTGCCACCCCGAACGGAAGCCACAGATTGGGCTTTCACAGACCCTGAGATCGATCCTGACACCGTTTATGACTCCCAAGCCATCTCCGATGGCAGACCCAAAATCCGGATTCCCATGGCGCTTCGCAGAGAGCTCTGCCAGCAATGGAAGATGTCCCTAATCGTGAAATATCTAGGTAAATCGGTCAACTTTAACATCCTGAATCATCGGCTCCCTGGGCTTTGGAACATCCAAGGTAAGGTGGAGTTGATTGATCTAGGCCATAGTTGTTTTGTGGCCAGATTTACCAACAGCACGGATTACTTGCACGTGCTCCTCGACGGCCCTTGGAAGATCTTCGACAATTACTTGGTGACGCAACATTGGGAACCTAAGTTCAACCCTGCGAAAGCCAAGCTTTCGAAGATGGCGGTTTGGATCCGCTTCCCCAACATGGCCATGGAATACTTTAGGGATGATGTGATCAAATCTGTCGTGGAAGGGATTGGCAAACCGTTGAGACTTGATCGCACTACAGCCGGTGTAGTGAAGGGTAGGTATGCTAGAGCTGCGGTGGAGATCGATTTGGACAAGCCTTTAGTATCTGAGATCTGGGTTGAAGATCAAGTCCAGGCCGTCGAGTACGAAAGCTTGCATGTAGTGTGCTTTGGCTGCGGTTTGATTGGTCACCGCGAACAATCTTGTCCACATAACAAAGAGAAAGAGCCAGTGAGGCGTGAAATGGATCTTAATGAAACTCCGGTGACTGACAAGGAAGGAGACATTCAGCAGACTTTGGGCGAAAATGCCATGCAACCACAACAGAATTCTGATGATAATCCCCCCCAACCGACCACTACTCCCGCCCCTGATCGCCGCCTAGGCTCGTGGATGATCGTAACTAGGAAGAAACATGACAAATCCCAAGTGAAACCCACCCGACAACCGAAACAAAAAAAGGTCGTGACGCGGAGCAATGACAATCAGTTTGCGCCTCTGGCCGGAGTTCATGAACAACCGCCGGCCACCTTGCCTCCGCAGCCACTGGTTTTCCAGTCCACAGAGAGGGGCGAATGCTCCAGAGGTAAGGATCGTTCTCCTCCTCACGTTCCCCTTCCTCGTCCCCCTCCAACCAATTCTCAAAACCTGCCCTCCATTTACCCACCTGCTCCGGCTAAATCTACACCCCAGCAAGACCCGAGGGGGTCGTCCAGGGGTCGTGGTGGACGCCAAAGAGCTAGCCGTGGTGGTGGGAGAGGTTTAGGTAGAGGGACACAGGTGAACGTGGTGGCTCCTACCAGTTGGGATCCGGCTTTTTTAGCCGGCAGCAGTGAGCTACTTCCCAACTTCCAGTTTACGGGTCATCTCTCTAATGCTATGGGTGATGACCCCAGTACCAGGGCCGTATTTTAAATTTTGGTGGCCCTGTTCTGGTAAATAAATGTGGCCCTACCAAAATCACAAATTTTAAAATCAATACATGCAAGTTTCGAACCTTTGACCTCCAAGTTAAAATACAATAAATATACATTTTTACCATCTCTTCATAGAACCTTTTAAGTTTAATTGAAAACTCTTAATTTTTATTTCTAAACTAGCTAGGTAAAAATTAAATATTGGACCTATAAAATTTGGGGCCCCTCTAAAATTGGGGGCCCTGTGCGGTAGCCCAGCTTGCACAGCCTAAAATCCGGCCCTGCCCAGTACAACTCCTTTGGTGGAGGCAGTGGCCAATTTAGGTCTCACGCCCGGGGAAGGCGGTTGCCAAACTTCCCTCCCTCTTGATCGTTCTCAATGAAGATTATCTCGTGGAACTGTAGGGGCATTGTTAATGGCCGAGTGATTAGACATGTAAAACATCTCTTATCCTCTTCCAAACCCGATGCTCTTTGTCTCCTCGAGATTCGTTCTCCCAAGATTAATGGCATGATCAATATGGCCAGCAATCTTGGGTTTACTAATCATTTTTTGGTCAAGCCTATTGGTTTTGCAGGTGGTTTGCTTCTTCTTTGGAAACAAGGACAAGTTGATTTTGACATCATGAGTCACTCCTCTCAAGCCATTCACACGAAAGTCAAGAATAGGCCAGATGATTGTTTTATCACCTTCGCTTATGTTAGGCCCAATATTATGGCCAAGAGCAGATTTTGGGATGAGTGTAAAATTTTTTCTAGTGCTATTCAAGGTGCTTGGATTTTAATAGGTGATCTGAATGACATCGCATCGTCTGATGAACAATGGGGAAGTAATCACTTGAATCAAGCCACCATGTAGAGATTCGTTGATGCTTTTAGTGCTTGTGGGCTTCTCGACCCGGGGGTCTCTGGGTCCAAGTTTACCTGGTGTCGCTTTGCAGGAAGCCGGGTTACTCAGCTCCGCCGCCTGGATAGAGTTCTCTGGAACATGAGCGCTCAGATGGTTTTTCCCGAAGCAAAAGTTAGGACTCTCTCGAGGATTCATTCAGATCATAATCCTTTGATGTTCACAGAAGTGGCAGGTCGGCCCCCTGATCGGGATCTACGGCCGTTCCGCTTTGAAGCAGCTTGGCTGGATAGACAGGATTATGCCTTGATTTGGAAAAATTCCAGTAGTGGGGACATCAACGACTTTGAATCCATAATTACCAACATCACGGAGCAAAGTAAACACTGGAACAAGGATTTTTTCGGTAATATTTTCAGGAGAAAAAGAGATCTTGAGACTAGAATTCGGGGAATCCAACAACACCCAAATTACGTAGTCTCAAGAAGTCTGCAGGTCTTGGAAAAGAATCTTGCCGCAGAGCTGGACCAGACCCTAGATCAAGAGGAAGCTCTCTGGTTTCAAAAATCTAGGATGAGCTGGATTAAAGATGGGGACAGAAATACTCGTTTCTATCACAACTCGGCTTTAATAAGAAGAAACAAAAACCGGGTCAGGTTTCTAAAAATTCAAGGCAGCTGGTCAGATAATCCGGCTTCCCTGGCTTATCACATTACCTCGTTCTTCTCTTCGCTCTTCAGTACAGGGAATCAGGTTAGCTCAGATATGATGGTGCCTATTGCGGATTCTCATCGGCTTTCTAGACTTGAACAGAACTCCCTTGTTAAAATTGCTACCAGTGAGGAAGTTAAAAAAGCTGTGTTTGGCATGAAGAGATTTGGGAGTCCAGGTCCTGACGGTATTCCAGCAGCTTTTTATCAAAATTTCTGGGAGGAAATTGGTGCTGCCATTACTATCCTGGTAAACCGGGCCTTCTACACCGGCTCTGTGCCTTTGTCTATCCTCCAAGCCTTCGTTACCCTAATTCCCAAGAAAGAGGTTCCTGAAACTGCTGCCGACTTTCGGCCGATTACCCTTCTCAATGTGGGTTTCAAGGTAATTTCTAAAGTCCTCGTGAACCGCCTGAGGCCGATTATGTGTCGTATTATTGGCCCGCATCAAAACAGCTTCCTCCCGGGCCGTTCTACCCTGGACAACGTTATACTTACCCAAGAAGTTATACACACGATGAACAAACGGAAGTGTCGGAAAGGGCTCATGGTCGTTAAAGTGGACCTCCAAAAGGCCTACGATAGCGTGGATTGGGCTTTCCTGAAAGACACTCTTGAAGGTTTTGGCTTTCCAGCACAGCTGGTTCAGCTCATTCTTTTTTCTCTTGAAAATAGTAATATTTCTATCCTGTGGAATGGCGAACGTCTCCCCCCTTTCTCTCCGGGACGTGGGCTCCGTCAAGGGGACCCGTTAGCACCCTATCTTTTTAATCTCATTATGGAGAGGTTGTCTTTGGAGATCCAGAACGAGGTATCTCTAGGAAGGTGGAAACCTATTTCTGTAGCCAGGGGTGGAATAGACGTATCCCATCTCTTCTTTGCCGATGATCTAATGCTTTTTGGAGAAGCCTCGGAGCATCAGGCAGGAGTTATGATGGGGTGTCTTAATAGGCTTAGCCATTCATCTGGACTCAAGGTAAATCTTTCAAAATCTTTGATTTATTGCTCTCCTAACACTTTTGCAGGGACCAAAAGGGCTATTGGCGAAAAGATGGGCATCCCTATCTCTTCTCACCTGGGCACCTACCTTGGGATACCGTTACTTCATACACGGGTTTCTAAAAACACCTTCTCTACCACCATTGACAAAATGCAAAGGAAGTTGGCAACTTGGAAAGCTAGCGCTCTTAGCATGGCGGGCAGAAGAGTCTTAGTCCAATCTTCCTTAGCAACGACACCTACCTACGCTATGCAGTCCATGGCTCTTCCGGTTAGTACGTGTAAGACCATTGACAAGATTTGCAGGAACTTCTTGTGGGGTCACTCTGAAGATACCAGAAAAATTCACTCCGTCAACTGGTCGGATATCTGTACGCCTCGCGAAAGGGGAGGTCTTGGACTTCGACAAGCCCAAGATTTTAATTTGGCCTTTCTGTCTAAATTGGCGTGGCACCTGATGACCAATCACAATAAACTCTGGGTCCAGGTCTTAAGGGAGAAATATTTGAAAGGTTCAGACTTCTTAACGGCCAATGCCCCGACTAATTGTTCTTATGTTTGGAGAAGTATTTTAAAGGGTAGACCAATCCTACAGAAAGGCATCACGTGGAAAGTTGGTAAAGGGGATTCTATCAATTTTTGGCATGACAATTGGGTAGGTAAGGGTTCTCTCAGCGCCATTCCTAACTTGGCAGTCCCTCCGCACTTGGAACACATTAAAGTTAGCCATTTCATAATGGAAGATAGAGTCTGGGATGCAAATGCTCTAACAAACCTGCTACCAGAGGATATTTTGAATGATATTAGGGCGGTTCCGATCAGCAAGACAATCATGCAGGAAGATGCTCTCTCATGGCCTCACTCAGGTACGGGTTCCCTCACAATAAAATTAGCTTATTCTTTGATTGCAGGTGGTGAAGAGGAAGGGCAGGATCTGGATTGGATGTGGAAGCTCATTTGCAAAGAAAAAATAAAAATGTTTCTTTGGAAGTTGACGAACAATGGTATTCTTGTCAATGGAGAACGTAAGCGGAGAGGGCTTGTCACGGACGGGAGATGTCCACGCTGCAGGGATGACGAAGAGTCTATTGATCATCTTCTCAGACGGTGCGACAAAGCGAGAGATTGCTGGAATCTTTGCAACGCTCCGCCGGCCTTCTCCCCGTCTGCGGCCACGCCGATTATGACTTGGGTAAAGAGCAACTCCTCCGGCTCCCTACATAATTCGGCAACCAATAACTGGAGCATCTTGTTCCCGCATGTTCTCTGGAACTTGTGGAAAGCAAGAAACGATTTCATCTTCAACCAGGTTGACACCCCGGCGGTCGAAATCCACAGACGTGCGCAAAGGGACGCGGAGGAAGCGAGGCGGTACCTTATCAAACACTCAGGTCTGCTAGGAGGACGCCAAAGATGGGTGTGGTGGTCACCCCCCCGTCTTGGCTGGTACAAGCTGAACACAGATGGCGCAAGAAAGTCCTCCACGGGCATGGCAAGCGCAGGCGGCATTTTACGGGACAATTCTGGCAACTGGGTTATAGGCTTCGCGACAAAAATTGGTACTACAAGCGTTTTCATGGCCGAGCTCTGGGGGTTAAGAGAAGGTCTTCTGATTGCCAAGAACGGGGGCTTCCTAAAATTGATCGCCGAATCCGATTCGGAAGCCGTTGTCCAAGCGCTTAATAAAGCTCCAAGAGACAGTCCGGAAATCGACACGCTGCTTCTAGATTGTAAAGAATTAATGAAGGCTTTCCAAGATTTTGAACTGGTTCACACTCTTCGGGAAGGCAACCAACCCGCTGATTTTTTGGCCAACCTTGGGCAACAAGCTAATTGGGGGACAACGATCCTGACTGACCCTCCGAGAGAGATGGCTACCTGCTTGGCTCGCGACGCCGCGTCAGTGGCATCTAGACGTGTTACTTAATTTTTGAGTTTTTCTTTTTCCTCTCTTTTTCTGGGGCGCTATGCTCCTCTTAACCCACCAAAAAAAAAAAATAGTGAGGTTACTATAAATACTTTACAAGAAAAATTTATTCTTAACAAAGAAGTTTTGAGTAAGATTTTAAAGACAAGGAAAATGTAAAAAGATAGATTAAGGGTCCGTTTGGAAACTTTTTTTTTTTTTTTTAGGAAACTGTGCATTTATTAAAACAAAACCAAGTCATAACAAAAGAGCCCAAAAGTGACTCTTTTGTTTGAAAACTTCAAAAATGATTTCCGGAAGTCATTTTTCAGATTTTTCAGTGTTTGGGCACTCAAGGAAAATAATGAAGTCAAAGGAAAATATTCATTATGGTCAATGAAAAAAATGCTCAATTTGACGGAAAATGTCTTCCTAATTTTTTAGTCTGAACACATTTTCTGGATTCTTTATTTTCATTTCTCTCTTCACTCTCTTCTTGTTTTAAGTTAGTTTCCAAATTATTATTATTACCATCGCCACCAACACTACTACACCACCACCACAACCACCAACACCACCATAACTACGTACCACCACTACTAGCACCAATACCAACACCAACACCAACATCAACATCATCACCACCACCACCACCACGACACCACCACCACCACCACCACCACCACTACTGCCACCACCACCACATAATATTATTGTTATTATTATTATTATTATTATTATTATTATTATTATTATTATTATTATTATTATTATTATAACAAATAATATGTTTATTTTTTGGACAATGAATCAAACAGAAAAAAAACAATTTCTTAACGTTGAGCCAAACAGAAAAAATTAGTGTTTCTTATTAAATGTGACAATATCACTATACTCGGAGGATTAAATTGAAAGTTTAATTTCTTACTAAATGTGACAATATCACTATACTCGGAGGATTTAGCTTTTATTAACCCATAATAGTTTTCACACGTGCATTGTGCGAATAGTTTGATGCTCAATATTATTTTTAAATTGGTGTTTAATAATTTATCAAAATATCATTTGGTATCCTGGAATGTACCAATGCAAAATTATCAAACTTTTCATAAAAGTAAATATTTCAAGAATGCATAACACCTATGATAGAAATGTTGGATTAACTGGTGCAATAATAGCAATTTTAGAGGGAAGTACCCTCACTCGATAGAACCTTAAGCATAGTTTTTGCAACACAAAACTCTATTAATTGACGTGATCCATGGTTCCCTTTGTTGCAACACAAAACCCTATTAATTTTTGCAATTTTAGTGCTTTGGCACAGTGCACCATAAAAAACAGAACAAAATCCTCCTTCTCCAAAATGACAATGATAATAGACATAGTTTATCATTTGTGTTGAATATATACTGTAAATTAGGTGTACCGTTTCATCAATGTACATTGTACAATGCGTGATTCTAATTAATTGAACAAAGTTCATGTTAAATTTTATATTGTAATTTTTTAATACACTCTAACATATTCATAGTATATGTTTAACAATTATATCAATTTTGAATGAGATAGAGTTCGAACCTAAAACCTTCTTTATAAAAATCAATGAGTATGTTAAGTATAATATATATTTAACATAATATTTTATTTTATCTTAAAGCACCAAAATGAGTGTTTACGGAGTAATATTCAATGAGAAGCCAAGACAACCAAAACAACAAGCAGCCATGATAAAACAAACAAAACAAATCAAAATCCAACTCAAATTGCAAACAGTGACACGAATATGCAGTCTGCACACAAATTGGAACGCAGCTCCGTTTAATGGAACATTGCCCACTTATTTAATTTCAGCATTCTGTAGAAATCACAATCAGAAAGTCATTCATAAAATGTGCAATCAAGCCCTGCAGGCTAGCTTAGTTGGTTCACCCAATCACCCTAAAACCTTGTTGTAAGGACATTGGAAAACCTTGACCAATTAGAGGATGAAGACCCCCTATGCACTTAGGAACTGATGGACGATTCGCTATTTACCTCCTCAAGGGAAATCTAATGTATCCAAAAAAAAAAAAAAAATGGAAAAGTAAACAAACAGATGCAAATACCAAAACAAAATAAATTTAAAGAATTTTAACTAACCTCAGGCTCAGGAGGGTAGACAGAGAGCTGAAATCCACCCTTTTTTGTATCTCCATCTTCACCTCCTTTCAGCTTCTGTATTTGTTGAGCAGAATTCACTGCCCCCTTGTTGGTGCAATACAATTCCAACAATTTAAGGCTTTCTATTTCCCCAAACTCAACAGGAACAGCATCAAGCTTAGTGCAGTTTCTGAGGATCAGACATTTTAGTACCGGAAAACTATCTTTCGAAGCTGTCCATGATACTAAATCAGTACTTTCGATGCGAAAATACTGCAGTTGTTTGAACACAACGCTCCTTACATCACAGAATTAAGGTTGTTAATTAAGGTTGTTGTGGAGTGGTCATTTCAACTCTAATTTAATTTTGCACTGTTGTATATTTATGTTGGTGATGCAGACAACAGCTGGAAATCATATATATTTAAGAGACTTTATTGTGGGTGTAGTTGGTGTCGGTATATTAATGGTAGCTGCAATGGGAATTATAGGTTTCTTCGTTGCAATCTTCTTGAAGCAGAAACTTATTACCCTACACAGACAACAGGTAATATACTACCTGATTGTTTGTGTTTCAATAATATTAGCCATTGGAATTATACTGTGGTGACTCTACCGTTTGCTTAATTGTGTGCTATGCTTTTTCTTCTTCTTCTCTCAAATACTGCTTATTGAATCAGTGAGTTAAACCCTTGCAGACATTCTATGCTTTTTTTGTTTGTGAGATTGGTGGAGTATTATGAGAGGAACAAAGATTTTGAATTGAATTAGATTGGAGTTTTATGAGTTAGTTTGAAAAATGGAGATTGTTTGTATTGTATTTGGGTAATATATTATTGGGTGTGTTGGATATTTTCTAATTGTGCTTTTATTTGCACAAATAATTAACAAGACTATTTGTATTTTATATTTGGTATTATAGTTTGTTGAGAAAATTGGTTTAAAATGGCATCTAAAGTGATTATTTTGAGGTATACTTTAATTTTTAGAATGTTTACTCCCAATTTTGGGTGTGTCAAAATTGATTCAGGTTCTCATAATGAAGATATATAGTGAGGTTACTATAAATACTTTACAAGAAAAATGTATTCTTAACAAAGAAGTTTTGAGTAAGATTTTAAAGACAAAGGAAAATGTAAAAAGATAGATTAAGGGTCCGTTTGGAAACTTTTTTTTTTATTTTTTTAGGAAACTGTGCATTTATTAAAACAAAACCAAGTCATAACAAAAGAGCCCAAAAGTGACTCTTTTGTTTGAAAACTTCAAAAATGATTTCCGAAAGTCATTTTTCAGATTTTTCAGTTGACAGGATAATAGGGCTGGCACCCGACCCGGATAACAAATGAGCATCTGACTCAGCATCACATGGGAACCCACCGGGCAGAACTCCAACGGTTAGAATCCAACAGGTGTCACATTTATTGTCATTGAAGCCACCTTTGATGCCACCATTGATGAGAGAGAGTTAAAGCCTCAACGCCTCATTCATGACTCTTGATATTCTTGCCGTTAGCTCAGCTCCCCAAAGATGTCTCTTCATGTTGTTACCGTTAGGACCTAGCATAAATAGAACTTCTCTCAGCTGAGCAGAGGACACTGTACTTTCTATACTGAGACAAAAGGCAATACAACTATTGTCACTTTCTTATTCGTCACTTTACAATATATTTCTGGTAACATTATTACCACCATTGGTGCTTTCATTGAGAGCCTGAGTCCAATACTCAAGCAGGCTACGACACACACAACTCATTCCTCTTTCAACAGCAAGCTTGAAAGAATGGTGTCCCGCAGCTCCCATGGTTCCCGCAACGTGAACAATGGCAATGCCTCAGGAGACCTCCGGGACCAACTCACCAACAATCGCGGAGGGGACCTTCGAGACCAACTCAACAATGGAGGGGTGAACCAAGCCGTGAACCTCCATGCGACTGCCGATGTTATTCAGCAAGCAGTGACGGCGGCGCTAAATCAGGTGGCGGTGGGACTGCAAGGCCAAGTGCCCCCGCCGCAGCCCCAGGAAATAAGGGTGGAGACCCAAAGAAGTGGACCGGCCAGACGACAACCAGGCCCTTCCCAATCTGCACTAGAACGATTGGGACAAAGGGCGCCCATGCGGCAAAGATTAGGACCACGGGCCGAGGGATCCTCTACCAGAGGTCCTCGCCAACACGAAAACAGAGAAGCCGAGAGATCACCCACAGAGGAGGTGGGCGAGTCTCGGGAGCCGACCCCAAGCCAACACGTTGATGAGTCGGCCTTACGTCGACACTTGGAAGAGCGGCAGCCGGCCCCGCGCCGGCACCCTGATGAGTCGGCCCTGGTCGATAGGCTGCAGAGAAGAATCGAGGAGTTAGCAAGAAGGGTGGAGGCACGGGAGCAGTCGCCCGAACCCGAGGTACGAATGACAGCACCATTCTCCCCAAGAATCATGGACGTACCGTTGCCGAGGGACTTTAGGTTGCCCGCCATCAAGGAGTACACGGGGGTTACTGACCCACGCGTCCACATGACGAGGTACAAGGCCGCTATGGTAATGATCGGGGCAGGGGACGCCATCATGTGCCGAGCGTTCTTGTCCACCCTGGATGGAGCGGCCCAAGACTGGTTCAACACCATCCCTGATGGGTCGATCCAAAACTTTGGGGAGTTGTCCAAAAGCTTCCTGACATACTTCTCCGGTAGCATACAGCGTAAGAAACCCTTCTCTCACCTCTGTGTAGTGAAGCAAGATAGAGTCGAGAGCCTCAAAGACTTCCTGATAAAATGGAAAAAGGAAGTCAATAATGTCTACGACTTCGACTCCAAGGCGGCGATCCCGATATTTATCCATGCCTTAAGATCAGGGTATTTCCACAAGCAGTTGAACGCCCACCACCCCCGCTCTTATGAAGATCTGATAAGGACGGCTAGCCGCTATGCCGAAGCAGAGGACGTCGACAGAAAGAAGAAGGACGAAGAGGATGGAAGGAAAGTTGGGAAGCCTGGGAAAGCGGGTCCGCCCAGCCAGGCACCACCCTCGAACCAGCCGACCGCAGGGAAAGGCCGAGACCACGAACGACCTCGCCTGGTCCCTTTGCGTAATCTAACTCCTCTTACCCATCCCGTCAGTGTCATTCTACAACAAGCTGAGGAGATGGGAATGGTAGAATTCCCCGAGGAGTGCATGAAGGTCTCCCCAAAGGCAGACCAAACAAAGTACTGCAGGTTTCATAGTCAAGCCGGCCACGATACAGATGAGTGTCACGTTTTGAAGAGACAAATAGAAGAACTCATCCAGCAGGGCTATTTTCGGCATTTTGTCAAGCGATCCAAGCAGCAGCAGCAGTCGCAGCGCGATCCATCAAAAAAACCACCAAAAAATGTCTGGAGAAATGAGGATGTCACCGAGCCGTCCACCTTGAAAAAAAGAGAACACGACCAAATATCTGAGCAGAGTGATAGCGAGAAAGAAACCGAGGTGGCGCCTAGACGACAAAAGAAGCACACCATACACTTTATCTATGGTGGACCTGCAGGGGGCGACACGCCCGCGGAAAGAAAGAAGTGGAGCCGGCGGCTATACGTGGGAGAAGTGGCGAGTCTTCCCAGAGAAAAGAAACAGAGACAGGAGGCCATCACCTTCTCTGATGATGACCTCCCAGAGGGCCCGTTACCCCATCGTGACGCCCTGTTAATTGAGATGGACGTCAACGATGTCATTGTCCGCCGCATCTTAGTCGACACGGAAAGCTCAGTCAATGTGATGTATTACGATGCCTTCACCAAGTTAGGGATACTTAGGAACCAGCTCAAAGAAGTACGTACCCCACTCTCTGGATTTACGGGTGATTCAGTGGAGACGGAGGGGTCAGTGGTCTTACCAGTGGAGATAGGCACGAGCCCTAACATTCGCAAACTTGACTTGGAATTCATCGTGGTAAGACTCACTTGTGCGCACAACATCATATTAGGGAGACTGGCACTGGAGAACCTCAAGGCCATAGTGTCGGTGGAACACTTGTGTATGAAGTTCCCCACTCCGAGCGGGATAGGGATCGTCAGAGGAGACCAGCGAGCGGCCCGCAGTTGTTACGTTAAAGCATGCAAAAAGATTGGCAGAAATGATCCATAAGTCCACACCATCTGTAAATATAATCGATCGGGTATGGAGCTAGGAACATTTGATTAAGTATTTTCCTTAATATTCTAGTAGTCGTTTGGGACTAGTGTTTGGTAATCGCGGTCCGCCCGCTTTGCATTCTGAAATCCTTTGGAACAATATCTCGTGCTTGTGGTTCGCCTATGTTGTTTCCAAAAAAAAAAAAAAAAAAAAAAAAAAAAAAAAAAAGGAACGAGTCGCACGCCCCGGCCACAGGTTGGCCGAGACGTGACTCGACTCGGGGGGCCGAGGAGCCCGCCTCGGCCACAGTCTGGCCGAGGCACGCCTCGGCCACAGTTTGGCCGAGGCACGTGATGGACAATTTTTATGTCCTCGCAAGTGCACGAGTCACGGTAGTAATAGCGTGCAAATGCAAGTGTCGATCCCACAGGGAATTGTAATAATGCAATTTAATAACTGTACTTAAAAGAAATAATTGAATGAAATGTTCCAAAAGCAATGGAATAAACTAAGTGGAAACGCATGTAGAAAACAAGGCAACTAAGGTAATAAAACACATAGAAAACAAAGCAAGAAGGATAAATAATCAACCACGAAACGAAACAACAAAAGAGGCTAAAAACATGAATCAATTAGCTACTCATTCTAATAATAGCTTCAATAGTTCAATTCTACGAATTGATGCAAACTAAACTAATTAACAAATGGAATATTTGAAAAGCAAAATCAAAATAATAATAACGAAAACAAAGCACGGGCTCATTCAAGATCAACAATTAAATTAAATTTTCTAACAAATAGTGTGAATAAAATTAAAATCATCTTGTTCCTAAAAATATCAAAAGCATTTCAAAATTAATTGCAAACCAATTAAATATCGTTACGACAAGCTCACCACGTACACCACTCTCAAAGTTGAAAGTAAAGAATTTCTAAATGACAAGTGAAGATTAAGAAGAAGAAAACCAGAGAACTGCTACTGCTAAATCTTAATGTTTTGATAATCAAATGATAAACACATTAAATGAACATATTTTGATCCAAGAATAGGAAAAGCAATATTTAAAGGAAATTAGAAAGGGAATGCTGCTACTAAAATGATCCTAGAATGTTTAGATTTAGCAAACCAAATTAAAAATCACCATACAGTTTCATTCCTTCACCAAACAACTAATATCAAAATAAATTAATAACAAGGGAA